TTTTAACCGAAGCCATACAAACACTCCATATGAGAGTTATTTCCCCTTATGCATTTGATATAAGTGATATGCATTTCTATCTTGTAAACCATAAGTGATAGAGACCTAGGATCTTTTTATTTGAGGTCCTTGGTCCAAAAAAAAGAAAATAAGGTCAAGGTCAGAGGTCAAGGTCATATTTTAAATTTTGATTTTGGCTGATTTTTAATTCTTTTCAAAAACCGTATAAGATATTGACAACATATTTTTACTTAATTGTAATTTGCGACATGTCGTAACACATAAATTTTGGTTGAAAGGGTACGCTAACATTAAATTGGAGTTTTCTCCCCTCTTATCTTAAAAATTAGGCATATAGTGATATAACTCATTAACCATGTATAATTAAGACCTATGGTCTTTTGATTTGAAGCCCTTGGTTTATGACCTTGAAATTGAGCACAGGGTCATTGGTAAATTTGACGTTCTAGATATTGACCTTTGCTTTTACCTCATATGTATACATGATAAAGCCATGGGACTTTTTGCATTACGTTGCAAGCCACTTGACCATGGAAAAGCCAACCGGAAGTGACCATGTGTAAACCAGAAGTAGCTATAGTTTGTACTTATTAAATGTAATATTATATTGAACCATATATTTTTGGAATCAGTATCAAGTAAACTATAAAAAAAAACGGAAGTGACATTTTTCAAACCGGAAGTAACAATGTATCTCCCTTATTTAGAAAAAAAATGTATAGAAACCATATATTTTTGGAATCAGTGTACAATAAGCTATCATTTGACGCTGGATATGATATTTTAATAGTTCTATATCAAAATTGATCTTTATGGGTGGAAAGGCCTTCAATTATTGTTCTCTGAACAATTGGTTTTTAATACTATTCATTATGATTTTAACCTAATTTTACACGATTTCCAAAACCACGGTATATACAGGTGAGCAACACAGGCTCTTGAGAGCCTTTAGTTTTTTCTCTCTGTGTGGATATGGATCAAACCAGGCCACAATCTTACTTAGTATGAAAGATGCCTACCACTGTTGCTAATGATTTAAATGATGCATATATTTATACCAGATGAGAGATTCAGGATCCTGGGAGCCTTTAGTTTTTATTAAAGTTCCATGTATGTGAAAAATAGCAATTTTATTCTTGCAATCATCACATAATTTTAACTTAAGGAGAGTAAATTCAGTTTTAGGGGATATAATTGTTAATGTGATAATGAATTTTCAACGTCTTGCTGTTACAAATGTAATAGTTTTCTTAATAGTGATTTTGTAGTAGAAGAATCTTATCTGAAGACTTCAAGTCTTTCAAATTAATCGTTGTGCAAAATTACCCTTGAATGAGTTACATAGCATAGAAATGATCAAATCTTTTGTTTTAATTGAAACAGAAGATAAGTATTTATTTTGTTTTATAAAATGTCAACATTAAATGAAACAGAAGACAAGTGTTTATTTTGTTCCATAAAATGTCAATTATTTTGGCTCTGCATTTAGACCCTAGTAGAAAAAGTTCCTTAAATTTAGTGGGGGTGTTGTAAAAAGATTTTCAATCAAATTAAGAGGTGAAATAGTTGAATCTCACTTTCAGGCTATTTTTTGTCTTGACTGCCACGAAAGTTTCAGTATGCAAGACATAGGGATTACAATCCGGCTGCCACGTTGTTAACTATTAGTATAAAGCTTTATATTTCAGAGGATAGAAGACCTAGATGCTTCATACCTTGTATGCAGATAGCTTATGTTATGAAGTTTCTGTCTGTCATATGTCCATTATCCTTGACCTCATTTTCATGGTTCAGCGACTGCTTGAAAAACCATTAAAAGTTTTTTTGTCATGTGACTTTCTCACTTATTATAAGTAATAGGATGACTATATTTGGTATATGGGTTCCTTGCAATGTCTACATGTCCATCAGACAGGTTTTACCTGACCTCGACCTCATTTCATGGATCAATGATCAAGGTTAAAGTTACATTATTAGGTCCGTTTCTCAGATACTATAAGCAGTAGGTCAACTATATGTGGTGTATGGAATGATTGTGAGGGGAACATGTCAGTCTGGCAGGTTTCGTCTTACCTTGACCCTATTTTCATGGTTTATTGGTCAATGTTAAGTTTTTGTGTTATGGTCTGTTATTTGAATACTATATTAAGCAATAGGTCAACTATATTTGGTGTATTGAATGATTGTAAAGTGTACATGTCAGTCTGGCAGGTATCATCAGACCTTGACCTCATTTTCATGGTTCATTGGTCAATGTTTAGTTTTTGTGTTTTGATCTGTTTTTCTGATACTATAAGCAATAGATAAACTGTATTTGGAGTATGGATTGATTGTAAGGTGTTGATGTCTGTCTGGCAGGTGTCATCTTTCCTTAACCTCATTTTCAAGGTTTATTGGTCAATGGTTAAGTTTCAGTTGTTAGATTCTTTCTAAGATACTATAGGTAAGAGTTAAACTATATTTGATGTATGGAATGATTGTAAGTTGATAATGTCTGTCTGACAGGGTTCCTCTGACCTTGACATCATTTTCATGGTTCATTGGTCAATGTTAAGTTTTCCTGGATAAGTCTGTTTCTTAGGTACTATAAGCAATAAGGTCAACCTATTTGGTGTATGGAATTATTGTAATGTGTTCATGCCTGTCTGCCAGGTTTATCTGACCTCGAACTCATTTTCATGGTTCATTGGACAATTTTTATACGACCCAAAATTTGCGGTCGTATATTGGTATGACGTTGGCGTCGTCATCGTCGTCGTCCGAAGACACATTGGTTTTCGCACTCTAACTTTAGTTTAAGTGAATGGATCTCTATGAAATTTGACCATAAGATTCAATACCACAAAAGGAAGGTTGGGATTGATTTTGGGGGTTTTGGTACCAACAGTTAAGGAATAAGGGGCCAAAAAAGGGACCAAAAATCAGCATTTTTGTAACTTCCAGACATAACTTGAGTGTTAGTGTATTGATCTCTCTGACATTGTACCACAAGGTTCCATATCATAAAGGGAATGCTGGGATTGATTTTGGGGGTAATTGCCTCAAAATTTTAGGAATTAGGGGCCTAAAAAGGGGCAAAAAAAGCATTTTTCTAGTTTCATGACAATAACTTGTGTGTAAGTGTATGGATCTTTATGAAATTGTACTACAAGGTTCCATATCACAAAGGGAAAGCTGGAATTGAGTTTGGGGGTAATTGCCACTAATGTTTAGGAATAAGGGGCCAAAAATAAGCATTTTTCTAGTTTCCAGACAATAACTTGTATTCAAGTGTATGGATCTCTCTGAAATTGTACTGCAAGGTACCATACTACTAAGGGAAGGCTGGGATTGATTTGGGGGGTAATTGCCTCAAAATTTTAGGAATTAGGGGCCAAAAAGGGGCAAAAAACAAGCATTTATCTAGTTTCAGAACTATAACTTGTGTGTAAGTGTATGGTTCTTTATGAAATTGTACTACAAGGTTTCATATCACAAAGGGAAAGCTGGGTTTGAGTTTGGGGGTAATTGCCCTAAACGTTTAGGAATTTGGGGCCAAAAATGGGCCTAAAAACAAGCATTTTTCTAGTTTCCAGACAATAACTTGTGTTCAAGTGTATGGATCTCTCTGAAATTGTACTGCAAGGTACCATACCACAAAGGGAAGGCTGGGATTGAGTTTAGGGGTGACCGTGATGAATCATAAGGGGGTTGAAAAAATTTGGGGGAAGGATTTTTTTTCTTCATTTTTTTCCTTTTTTTTTCTTTAAAATTTTCCATTTTAAATTGGTTATTTCTGATTTATATATAAAAGCAAATAATAATGATATGGTTTGAAAAGGTAAATTAAAATTTTTTAAGTTCTTAGACCACATTCATTCTGTGTCAGAAACCTATGCTGTGTCAAATATTTAATCACCATCCAAATTCAGTGCTGTATCAAGCTTGAATGTTGTGTCCATACTTGCCCCAACTGTTCAGGGTTCGACCTCTGCAGTCGTATCAAGCTGTGCCCAGCGGAGCATTTTATTAGTTTTTGTGATACTTGTAGTAAAACATTATCTTAAGGACTATCAACATTTCAGCGTGGGCACTCTTGTTTATAGATCTCTATTTATGTATTTATTCAAAAATCACAAAGAAAGCAGACTCATATAAAGACATTAGGAAAAGGACAATACAAGAAACTTGCAAAATTGATCAATAGGGGTCAACAATTTTAACTCATTTTGGCATGAAATACAAAAATTGACTCAAGTTTTGAAATGAAACAATGCTGCTTACCATTTATTGAATTTTTCACTTATACACATTTATCTTAGCTTTAAATAAAGACAATTTGGCTAATTTATTGTTAAAGATACCAGTTTTAAATATTCTTGAATGTTTCCAAAAATTTCAACGAAATACAATAACTCCTAATTTTGAATCTCATTTTTCTCGAAAACAAGAGTGTAAACCTATGTTTTATTTTGTGATTTTTCAAAGAATTTCGATCTTCAAAATATAAATTCATAAAAATGACACCATTAATTGAAACTATATATTGACTCCCCATGAAAGTTACATCAGATGACACAAACAGTGGCAAATCATTCTGTTGTTTGTTTTGTTCTCTAACTGTTAGTGAAAGTGGCCAGAAAGGTTACCATGGTGACCATTAAACTTTTTGTTCGTATTCCTTAAAAAATTAACATGTAGTGTGAAAGAAAATCTGAAACCATCTAATGCTCCACATATAATTTGTATTTTTAAGTGTAAATATAGGCATTTAAGGCAAATTCCATTCTTTTCTTCAGGGATTATAATAAGCATTTAATCAATTTCAAAATGAGTTAGACTGCTGTATAAAACCTTTGTTTAAAGTCTTAAAATATTGTGTCCAATTTAAAAGATATTTAAAGTTTTATCTCAAATATCATTGTATATTCTAAAATGATTTAGTTCAGGATATTTTTTAGATGGACAATTATAGGCAATGTATTTTCTTTTATTAACAGGTATAACCAAACACAATGAGTACAGCAGCTGAATTTGAAGATAAAGTACCATTTGATGAAGGTATCAAATGTATTAGGGATGATAATTGTGCAGAAAATTATATTGTTGTGGGACATATAGAAAATGATCCTAATAGATTAACTGTTTTAAAAGTCGGAGAGGATGTATCAGATATGCAAGAACTTTTTGATGACACTCAGATGATGTATGCTTTAGCCAGATTTGAAAGCACGTTTGATATGTCAACAACGGTTAAATTTGTTTATTTTCATTGGTAAGTATCTCTGTTGTTCTATGTAGCATTCTCTGTTTGGTATGGAAGACTTAGCACTATATAGTTATGAAATTTGTTATACGCCTCCTATTTTTTTCTTTGTCCCTGCACAACGTGTAGTGGAGGACATAAAAATAGCAGGCGTTTGTTTGGTCTTGTTAACACTCTCACATGTACAATTCTTGCCAGATTTTTATAAAACTTTTATCATATATTTATATCAGCAATGTCTCGGACAAGTTGGAAAATAAGTGCAGATCAAATATCTTAAATATTCCCCTTGGAAATAATTAATATATTGGAAATTGCTCTCAAGTCTCCAGGATAATTCTTAAAAGTTTTAAAGAACAAAAAAATAAATTTCTGTTCTTTTATTATATAATAGAAATAAGAAGATGTGGTATGAGTGCCAATGAGACAACTCTCCATCCAAGTCACAATTTGTAAAAAGTACAATTATAGGTCAAAGTACGGCCTTCAACACAGATCCTTGGCTCACAATGAACAGCAATCTATAAAGGGCCCCAAAATGACTAGTGTTAAACAATTCAAATAGGAAAACCAACGGTCTAATCTATATAAAAAACAAGAAACAAGAAAGACTTATGAACCACATCAACAAGCAACAACCACTGAACAACAGGCTCCTGACAGGACAGGTGCATACAAATGCAGCAGGTTTAAACGCTTTAACAGTTTTACAAAAATAAGCATGATTAGTATTAAAGATAGGTTTATGAAATGTGAAGTGCAACTTATGTTTTTACTATGGCATTGCCAGTCTGTCTTCGACTTATGAGTTTGAATATCCCTTTGCTATGCTTTGCCTCCCTTTAATGTTATTGAAAATTTTGGAATCTACATGTTTTAATAGAAGTTCAATTTTTGTCCTGTGCATATAGGCAATATTGTACTTGTATGTTCAATTGTAGGTAAATTATTGCTGTCAAGTTACTTTGTGGCTTACACCCAAGAAAAGTCACCTGATAAAATATTGAAGTTGTCAAGTCAGATTAAAAGATACAATTTAAAATGTCACCCATTCTCACCTGTGTTTTTTTATTATTTGTTAAGTTCAAATGAGGTAACTATTACAGATCACTATTGCCTATCTGCAAATGTCAAAACATTTAAAAATGACAGGGTATCTTCACTTTATTGATTGACCCTAATCACATGATTGAGTGAAATTTGTAGTTACTATAAGTAACTCCAAAACACAAGGAGCATTGCAATGATGTTTTTGGTCCTTAAAAAGGATGAAATTCAGTAATTACTAGGGATGTCTTTAAATTACAATATATGTATCTAAAATCTGGCATTTTAAGACATTTCTGAAAATAAAGATTACATAATCTGTTCAGTACAATGTACTTATAATAGAAATCAATAAAGTACATTTTCTGAAATATTCAGAAATTATTGAAATAAAACGTTAATATAAAAATGTATTCCTTCGTAATGAAACATTGAAATCAGCGCAAATTTATCTGCTTTGTAAAAGTTTTCTAGGAAGTGCTGGTAAAAATAGCTGAATTTTAATCTGATATTACAGAAAAAAAGATATGAATAAAAATAATTTTTCAGGTTTTAATAGTAACTGGAATACTTTTGTAGGGTAGGAGATAAAGTATCATATGTAAAGAAAGGAAGGTTTGGTGTAGTTCATGGAAGTGTAGAAGAAAAACTCAGTCCTTACCATTTGTTTATTGAGACAAGTAGTAAAGAAGACTTTGATAAAGATAAAATATTACAACAGGTAAATTGACATTTCTTGGAAACCTGTCCACAGATTAAAAGAAAATGATATGACATTTCTGAAACATAGAATATCTGTAGAAATCAATTGCTCTCAAAGAGTTAAGTGAACAAACCTTTGATTTGACAAAATAAGTACATTGTGGTGAAGCCCTAATGCTGCAAACTATAGAATATGTCTAGTGACACCCTAATATTTTATATCATTTAAACTAAAAAATTTACAGCAATTATATGTTGTCTTCAAACTTAATTCTGTGAATAGAATATTGAGAAGTCACAATTTAAAGTACACATTGTGTTTTTTTGCTACTTTTTAGGTGCATTCTATATTTTTTCAACAATATTTATTTATTTAGAAGTATCAATGCTACATAAATCTTTATATAAGTCAATGGTATTTGGTATATAGTTATATTTCCTTTCCATGGGGATTATGGGGATTTTTTTTTATATATTCAAAGGCGGCGAGACGGCTCCTAATGCATACAGTGTTTATAAAGATATGAAATACCACCCATTTTTATATAGTCTAAAACCAGTTTTATGCACGCACAAACCTCACAGAATCCTTGAAATTTTTAACTCCCTTTTAAGTTGTACAAATATTTACATGATTTGTAAGTTACATGTTAAAGTTTGTTATTAGGTCAGTTTAAGTGGAACCATAAATGGTAAGTCAATTACATTTGGTATGCAGTTGGAGTTATGTTTGCACATCTTAATTATATATCATTGAGATTAATTAGCTCACCCCCTCAGTCATGGCCTGTTAAAACTTTTGCATAGTTTACCTGTATTAGTTTGTGATTATGTCAGTTTAAGATAAACCACTCATGGTAAGTCAATGATATTTGGTATGCAGTTTTATTAGTATTTGCACATCTATTTTCCATGGTTCATTGACTTTAAAACTTTTGCATAGTTTACATGTTAATGTTTGTATTAAGGTCAGTTTAAAGAGAACCACTTATGATAAGTCAATGGTATTTGGTATATAGCTATATTTCCTTTCCATGGGGATTATTTGGCTCTGCACCTTCAGTCATAGTTCCTTTGCTTTGAATGTTTACATGTTAAAGTATTGCCATCTTTGAGTCAACATTTTATTTTGACAAAGTAAAGTTAGTAAAACGTTTAACAAGCTAAGGTTAGAGAATGTTGTATTTCAGAGATAGCTAAAAATTTATTTCAAAATAGTTTTCACAATCATATAGTGTTACACATGTAATATAAAAATTTCATAATTTGTTGAAGTGTTTAGGATTTTATATCCCCACCGTAGCTGAGGGAACATTAAGTTTTACCCTTGTCCGTCCGTACGTCCCAAAGTTGGTTTCCGTTCTCTAACTTTAGTTTGCCTCAACCAAATGTTATGAAACTTATACACAATACTTATTACCACAAAACACAGATCAAGTTTGAATTTTGGTGGCGTCACTTTAACTGTTCTAGAGTTATGCCCCTTTACAAATGAAAAAATGGCTGAATTTTTCGTTTCCGTTCTCTAACTTTAATTTGCCTCAACAAAATGTTATGAAACTTACACACAATGCTTATTACCACAAAACACAGATCAAGTTTGAATTTTGGTGGTGTCACTTTAACTGTTCTAGAGTTATGCCCCTTTACAAATGGAAAAATTGCTGAATGTTTCATTTTCATTCTCTAACTTAAGTTTGGCTCAACCAAATGTTATGAAACTTATACATAATACTTATTACAACAAAACTCAGATCAAGTACAATTTTGGTGGCGTCACTTTAACTGTTCTTCAGTTATGTCCCTTTATAAATTTATATGATATGCAAGCAGGGGCATCATCTGTGTCCCATGGACACATTCCCCATTTATTTATTGAATGTTTTACTATGGGGCCAGATAGACAAAAAAGTATTTATGTAGAAACATAAAACTGGTTCAACGCCCAATTTTGTGCCTGTACCATGTCAGGTTACCATGACCACATGTTATTCCTATTGTTTGTCCTTGTTTGTTTATCTATTTTATTTAGAGGAATCAGGTGTTGGTGTGATCTGTTATACTGTCCAGTATTTTGGGGTGATTCCTGTTATCCTTTTTATGATTTTAAGAATGAATTGATAACAACTTTTTCCTGTGAAAATGTTACTCATAGTTTTCAGTGCCATTATTGTAGACTCATCAGAAATTTACTATCTTAGATTTAAAGGAAAACTAATGATATTCAAAGACAACTGTGTCAGTGAACATAAATAAGAACAGAGAAAAAATGTTCTTTACTAATCAATAATACTTTATATATGTATGATATTTTTCCAGTTAGAAGAAAATACTGGTAAGAAATCAAAAGTAATAGAAACTGTTACATCTGGTATGCAACAAAGAGGCTTTACACAAACTCAGCTTCCAAAGAGAGGTCCTGCAGCTAAAAGTGGTCCAGGAATTGCTACAGGTGGGGCAGAAATACAGATAGCCCCAGAAGTGCTTACTGCTGTCCAGGATGTAAAAACAGATGGTAATGAAACCACATGGATGTTAGCTCAGTATGAAGGTGGTGACCCTAAGTCTCCATTGGTATTAGAGTCTACAGGGACAGGAAACATTGATGAAATGAAGACACACTTATGTGATGATTCAGCAATGTATGGATTATATAGGACTACAGATAAAGTAGATGATATTGTTACAGTCAAATTTACATATATTCAGTGGTAGGTTTCATTGTAGGTAGTCCTTGTTATATATACAAGTTGTACACTTCATATTATTATTGCCACTACATCCATTTTAAGACCAAGGTGTATAAATAAAGATCTGAGTCTAGGATTTTGTGGTCTATTTAAAGTTGATTTTGTATTCTGCACTGTCTATAGCCGTGGATACTTTTAATAGGCTAGTTTAAATATAGTACAGATTTGGCAAAAAATATCCATTTGGCATGATATTTTAAAAATTTTTACATTATTCCAGAGTAGGGGCAGGTTGAGCACTCACAAAAAGCTGTTACCATAGGGGTGACAATTTTCCAAAAATATAAACAATGATAATGAGTCATTTCATGTATGAAAATTTATGATTCTTTTGTTTCTGTGGAATATTTGTAAAGTATTTCTGTAACTAGTAAGTTGTAGGTGCATAGATTAAAATAGCAAACATCACTTCTGTATACAATTACAAATACACTCTCTCCACTGCACTGACACTAAATAGGAATACAGGGAACTCATTGAAACACCCGATTATGTTATCAGAGGGGAAGAAAATCAAGTGCCTTAATGCTCAGATAATTGAAAAGGACATTAGAATTGAACAAACAGGAGTTCTTCATGTAGTTATTTAAGTTTTTATACGCCCGTTTAAGGGACGTATTATGGTATACCTCTGTCCGTCTGTCTGTCCGTCATCAACATGTCGGACATTAACTCAAAAACACTTTCACCAATTTGCATAAGACTTTAGTGAATTGTTTATATCTTTTGACATGAGCTCCCTTTTGTTTTTTATCAATTTTAGATTTTATGTTTCCGAGGTTATGGGGTTTTATTCATTAAAAAAAGGGGGATTTTCCAGTGTTCAGACAATAACTCAAGAATGCTTTCACCAACTTGCAAGAAATTGTGGTGAATTGTTTATATCTATTGACATGAGCTCCCTTTCGATTTTTATATATTTTAGATTTTATGTTTCCGAGTTACAGGGTTTTATTCATAAAAAAAGGGGGATTTTCCAGTTTTCGGACAAAAAATCAAAAATGCTTTCAGCAGTTCTTATGAAACTTTGGTGAATTGTTTATATCTATTGATGTAAGCTCCCTTTACATTTTCATAAATTTCTAATATGACATTGAGAATTAACTGAACTTTAATTGTTTATAGTCTGACAATAGATTTACTAAGTATTGCGCAACAGCACAGTGTAATGCACAACAGCAAGAAATCTTTAATTGAATATAAATTCAATTCATATAACCAATTTCAAGTTCTTTGACTACATTTATTCAGAAACCTATAATATGTCAAATATTTAATACAATCCAAATTCAGACCTGTATCAAGCTTGAATATTGTGTCCATTTTTGCCCCAACTGTTCAGGGTTGAACCTCTGCGGGCATATCCAGCTGCGCTCAGCGAAGCAGTTTATTAGTATATGCCCCTCGAAGACGGCACGTATTATGGTATAACAATGTCTATCTGTCAGTCATCACTTTGTACCATAACTCAAATTTGCTTTTACCAATTATCATGTAATTTTAACACATTAGAATTTATGGAAGAAAGCTCCCCTTTGATTTAAACATTTTTTGCTGTGTCGTTCAAGAATTACGGGACTCTATAAACTTTTACATAATTGTTGGAATTAATAAAAGTAAGCTCCCTTTTAATTTTTTTAATTCGTCTGTTTTTCATTTCCAAAGATACGGGACTATAATAGATTAATTATCAGGAAGACAAGATCTGAAAATAAGTCAAAATGGTGGAAATAGTCAGTGGACTCCTTATTGGAGTTACTGCTCTTTAATGATGATTTTGACCAACTTTTTGTGTTTTTGCCAATTATTTTGAAACTATAATAGATAGAGAGAAACTTTAATAGAAAAAATGATTCACAACACAAGATCTACAAATAAGCCAATATTGCTGAAATCTCTAGTCAAAATTTTATAGGAGTAAGTGTCCTTAAATAACAATTTTTACCATTTTATGTATTTTTGCCTTTTATCTTGAAAATTCAGATGAAGTTGATTTAAGCGAGTATAGGCAACAGTACGGCCTTTAACAATGAGAAAAATCCATACTGTATAGTCAGCTATAAAAAGCCCCGACATGCAAAATATGAAACAATTCAATTGAGAAAACTAACCTTTTTTGTATTTTGGGCAAAACTATAGAAGACAGTGAGAAACTATTACAGCAAGGTCCACAAAAAAGAGGTTTTATTGGTAGTCATGAATTATCTTGTCTAAAATGTTGCAGAGTGTCCATTGATGAAGATGCATATAAACTTAGGTGAGCGACACAGGCTATTTATAGTTTTTATATCTGAGATTTCAGATAGAGATGACACTTATACAAGATCTGGTTGTTCTCATTAATGGAGTATGGTTATAATGTTGGTTACTTCTTTTCACAGGATTGGTGGTAAAGTAAAACCTATGAGGAAGGCCAAAGTATCAACAAACAAAGGTGTATTAGAGAAAACTTTTAGTCCTTACCATGTTAGTTTGTTTGCTAGTGAACAATCAGATATATCTGAAAGAATTGTAATGGATAAGGTAAGAAACTCAAAACTTCATTATCAAAGCTTAACAAAATTAAAAGCTGTCCATGTAAATGCATATATTTTTGTCGAGCCTTCGACTTTTGTCGAAAAAGCGAGACATAGCGATCCTACATTCCGTCGGCGTCGTCGTCGTCGGCGGCGTCCACAAATATTCACTCTGTGGTTAAAGTTTTTGAAATTTTAATAACTTTCTTAAACTAAACTGGATTTCTACCAAACTTGGACAGAAGCTTGTTTATGATCATAAGATTATATTCAAAAGTAAATTTTGTAAAAAAAAAATTCCATTTTTTCCGTATTTTAATAAGTGGACTTAGTTTTTCTGCCAGGAAACATTACATTCACTCTGTGGTTAAAGTTTTTGAAATTTTAATAACTTTCTTAAACTATCCTGGATTTGTACCAAACTTGGACAGAAGCTTGTTTATGATCATAAGATTATATTCAAAAGTAAATTTTGTAAAAAAAAAATTCCATTTTTTCCGTATTTTACTTATAAGTGGACTTAGTTTTTCTGCCAGGAAACATTACATTCACTCTGTGGTTAAAGTTTTTGAAATTTTAATAACTTTCTTAAACTATCCTGGATTTGTACCAAACTTGGACAGAAGCTTGTTTATGATCATAAGATTATATTCAAAAGTAAATTTTGTAAAAAAAAAATTCCATTTTTTCCGTATTTTACTTATAAGTTGACTTAGTTTTTCTGCCAGGAAACATTACATTCACTCTGTGGTTAAAGTTTTTGAAATTTTAATAACTTTCTTAAACTATCCTGGATTTCTACCAAACTTGGAAAGAAGCTTGTTTATGATCATAAGATAGTATCCAAAGTAAATTTTGTAAAAAAAAAAATCCATTTTTTCCGTATTTTACTTATAAATGGACTTAGTTTTTCTGCCAGTTAACATTACATTCACTCTGTGGTTAAAGTTTTTAAAATTTTAACAACTTTCTAAAACTATCCTGGATTTGTACCACACTTGGACAGAAGCTTGTTTATGATCAAAAGCTAGTATCTAGAAGGAAATTTTGATAAAATTTTGTTCCATTTTTTCTGTATTTTACTTATAAATGGACTTAGTTTTTCTTCCAGTCAACATTACATACATTCTGCAGTTTAAGTTTTTAAAACATTTATTAGATTCATAAATTATCCTGGATTTTTACCAAACTTGGACAGAAGCTTCTTACAATCAAAAGATAGTATAGAGAGGAATATTTTTATTAATTTTTTTCCTCATTTTTGTTGAGCCTGCGATTAACACCAAAAGTAGGCGAGACACTGGGTTCCGCGGAACCCTTACGAATTTTTTATCTTTTGAACATTATCTGGTCTGTATATCATACATTGGAGTTGACTGACATTGGTCAATCTTTTTGAAGTTGTTGCTATTATTTTACTGGCTTGCATGTAAATGATTTTGCAATTTAAGATTCAGTTTGTTAAAACCATATTGAGTTAAAAAGGTTTTTGAGCAAAAAATCAACAGAACCACATTATCTACATATGCAGAGTATGTGAGTGCACAAAGGTGAAAAACTGAATTGTGCTGCCTTAATTTTTGAAAAATAAAACATCTTATATTTAGTTGAATTTTGGTCGTCTCATATATTTTCTGAAAAAAGAAAGGAGAGAAAAAAACTCTAAAACTTTAGAATCCACAACTAGTATGTAAGAGATTGTCCCTTTTTTGTCTCTGTTTTGGGCTATATTGATGCCAACAAATCTGAATAAAAAAAGATCTAAATTATATATTTAAATGATGGAGACAGCAGCCCTACAACTCATTAAAGTTAGAAAAGACACCTAAAGGTCAACATATGGTCTTTATCAATAAACAAGTGTCTATATTATATACTAACATCTAAAAAAAATTTGAGTCATGTTTTTTTTTTTTAATCAGTGGACTTATCAAAACATGACATTATTGAAAAATTTGTTTAACATCATTAAAATTCCAGTAATTTAGTTTTTTTTTCCTTGGTGATAACGACTGCAAAAGATAACTGTATTTTGCTTAGGTTTAGCAGTTAATTTGAATAAAAGAAGATGTGGGGTTTACCTGATTGATACTGCAACTCAATTGCATAAAAACCAAAGACATCTGTATATAATGATATATTGGCTTTTCCATTGATGTTATTTTATATTTTTGTAGATAACTTCAGCATCAGGAACCAGGTCTCATGTAAAGTAACCATATACAAACAAACCAGTAAAGCATTAGTTCATTATAGAGTGAATAGTTTCTACATGACAGTACAAAGCCATGCTCCTGAGTTTAACCATAACAATGATAAACCACAGATACAGTTACTTTACCTAAAGAGATCTTATACTCTACTCAACCACCAATTACAGAGTGATCAATGCAGTCATATTTCTTGCCATGTTTTGTTACAATAATACTTGTATATATACAAAGTGAAGGAATGTTCTAGAATTTAACACATATGGACATGGGTCACATTTTATTAAGACCACAACTACCCATAATTCCTTTTTTTTTATTTTATAATTCTTCTTAAAATTCATCCTGGATCCTGTGAATTTCCCAATTATATGTTTTCCAATTTAAATTGTCTATTTGCCAATTACATAATTGACCCTGTAATTAGAGATTTATTGTGCTAATTGTTTTCCTTAGGAATGACATACATTTTCGTTGACAATGAAGAGCTAGCTAAAAGAGCAAATTTATATGTGTGTAATGTGTGTTTTCTATAGGTTTTTCAAATCTTTTAATTACATTTAATCTTTTGTTTAGCTAAAAACTTTTGATATCAATAGTTATTTTTCATTTAAATTTATTAAACTGTCTATATATTACTGCCAACCTATCATTTTTTTACATTGGCAGCAGCAAAGAGAAACATGTTGTGTTAAAAGTGTGAAATAACAAAATCACATCGGTAATTGGTAAAAAGATTATTGGTACATATGTTATCAGATAGAATAGTTGTAAGGTGAATGCCAAGGCTTTTATAAGATCATGCTTCAAGTTTCTTATGCATAGATATCATCTGACTTCTGAATTTCACTATCATTTTGTGTACTGTTATATTTAATGCAATATAAAAAGTTTAGCTATTTTTGATTTGATGACTACCACTGAAAATTCCACAGTTGACAGTTAAAGTTATTGGCAATAATTTTGTGCAATCACGGTGACCTTTTCTGGGATATTTCAATTGATTTTTTTTGTTTTTCTTTACATTTTATAAGTAGTGGATTAGAAAAGTGATAACAGTATGTATGAAGAGTTGCCATCATCAATTGGTGAATTGATTGTAACATACAGATTTCACTCCTTTGATGTGAAACAAAATTTTTCAGATTTAGGCAGTTTTGCTCTAGAAAGCCATTGAACTGCATTTGCTATTATCAAAATCGCAATTGACAGCAACAACTCTTCAAACACATTTTATTCATTAAGGAGCCTTTATTTTTCATTTCATTCATAATTATTGCAAAGAGTTAAGAATCTCAGATATTTTTTAATATTGCTAAATTTCTCAAAAATTACAACATTTTTGTCACTAGAGGTTAAGCTATAAAAAATCAATCAAAGAAACTACTGCATTATTTTAGGTATTATGCATTTAACGAGCATCTTCAAGATAGAGTGACAATAAAAGTACACTAAAATCATATGTATTTTCAAAAGAGTCATCATAGAATGTCTTGTGCATCACTAAAAACTGATAAAAGTCATATTTCATACTGTGGATTTTTATTTTACATTTACACTTCACTCAACTTTGATAAACCTAGAACAATTGTAAATTGTATATTTCTCATGATCTTATCATACATGTAATGTGTGGAATGGTAAAAATTATTTCATTTATTTTCTGAAGTGCAAGTTAAAATATGTAGTACATGTTTTGTTATCTTAAAGGGATATGGTCTACCATTAAGAAAAAAGTGTTTACTTTCCATTTTTAGTTCAAATATCAAAACATCTATTAAAAAGAATAGACATTTTATCAATGAAATTTCAAATACTGACCATATTTTTAGTATAGAGATATTTTTTTCTGGAGTTTTTATTTCATAGCATGACTTTTCTGAATACAAAGTATTTAGAATTTGTTTTTTAACAAAAAGCTTGCATTTTTCTTTGTTAATAGCTTTTGAGAGGTAATATACCTGATTTTACAATTGATGTGGCAGAACTAGTTGAAATATGTTTTTTTTTAACCAGAGATAGGTGCAGAAATTAGTTGTAATCGATACACATTTGATAAATTCAAAGCTGACAAAATGTATTGAAGTTATGGGTATACAGAAATTATCCCCATCATTTATATCTGGCCTAAAACAAAAGTTGACATGTAGATTCTACCTTTGCTTTGAATATGATGAAATATTTCTCAAGTAAAGACAGTAAAACCATTTTGGAATGCAAGACTTGCTAAGCATACTAAATATTTGAAATTTTTAACTGTTGAGAGTGGAGAAATATTTTGTCCAATGAAATGCAGGGTAGAATCTGTCTCTCTTATGATTACAAGCTCACAACAGAGACAATAAAAAACTATAATGACTACAAGGATTTATTCTTTTGTCAGCCAGAATAATTTGGCTCACTTGGTATTTCACTGGGATGGAATCGGTATCTAAGTCAAAACGTCCTTTATTCATTTTTGGTATGCAATTTTTAGTTATTTTTAAAGATATTTTTTAAAGCAAGGGGACCAATTTTATTTTTCAAACATTTTGTTGGTATTTTATTAAAAAAATTGTTATTTTTTACAATGTTATTTTTCAAATGATTGATTGTTTTTAAATATATATTTTTATGTGTTTTTATACTGGATGCTAGTTGCATTTTATGATATATTTTTTGTAATATGATCTGTTATATGCCAAAAAGTTTCTTGTCTTGTCTGGCAAAGTATTTAAATTGTTTTATGTGAAGATTTCTGTTGAATTAAGGTATAGAAGTACTAAATATATGATTCACATATGGCACACTCAATCAAATTTACAGTTGCAGTCAGGGCCATACCTATGTGTTAGTAATTTTATAACTTTTTATGATTTTTGTCTTTAACTGATATAAAAAAATATGAAAAATAAACTGATAACAACAGCATTAAAGTGAAGGAATCAAAATGTATTTTAAAGTAGTGAGTAACATTATGAAATTAGTCTATTTGAACAGGAATTTCAAGTCTCTAAAGTCATTTGATATTTAGTAATATCAAATCAAATATAACTAGTCATGTGATAATAGTTCCATTGAACATTCTTTTAAATACTTTCAAAAGGAACTAGAAATTGTGAAATTGTAAAAAATGTATTAATGTATTAATGTGTCTTTGGGTTTTGATTTGAAAGTTATAGACTCAGTGAAATTTGGCCTCATTATTTTCTTAATGAAACAATGGTTGTTCCATTGAGGCATAATAAGATTCTCTTCTGCGATAGTCCAAGATTGCTCTGACAGCTTTTTTTTTAAAATTTGCATGGCCCTAATCCTAAAAAAGGCGTTCAGATGTTGGAAGAATCTCATACTATTTCTGCACTAGATTGACATGCTTGTAAAAAGCCAAACTACAATGCCTTTTTAACATTTAATAAGTGGAGATGTTTTATGATTGCCATTGAGATTACTTTCCACTAAAAGACAAGGATTTGAACAACTACTGGTCACCATAACAATAACATTAATAACAATAACAACAATAATAATATATTATGGAAATGAAGATAAATATATGATATTGTCATCATGTTTTCTGTGTAGAACCTACCAATGAGCAATACAGGATCATTTTTAATAACCTTTGGTTCAGGTCAAATCATCGTATCAACCTTTAACATTTCAAATAAAAAAAAGTGGCTCCTAAAAAGATAAGTAACACAGTTTTTATAAAGGCAGGAACAGGTATTAACCATTTGATGAGTTTCACAAACAGTCAAATCTCCTTATTTTTATAATGCTGGAAAAATTATGCATTTGTAATTAAAATAACGAAAGAAAATTTTCCGTTTTACTTTTCCTAAAGATGAATGAGAATCTACACTTGATTATTTACGTGGCCATATAAATACTAGTCAATTTTAGCATGTAAATTGTTTACAATGATATTCGTCTTTAAATATTGTTTACAATATGTACTTTTATTTATACAGTTATATCTGTAGTATGTATGTGATCTGAATAATAAAAATTACATGTTGAAATCCATTTGTTTAATAACTAGGATTAAAAAAAGCCTTCTTTGTTGGACTTTACAATTTAAAATAGAATATGTTGGTGGTTTGGGGAATTAAAAACAAATTTATAAAAGGCTCAGTGGGAGTATATATATTTTTTATTATCAGGAATTCATTATTTTTTTTTGTATTCTGGTTTGATATATGGTTCAGTATAAATTCTTTGGATTTTTAATTATTTAAAATTTCATCATCGATCTGCAAAAATATTTTATATTGAAACATTACATGACAAGTATGCTTGAGTTTGAATTTCTTGTGTCCTTTTAACAATTTGTATCAATATTTGTGTACATAATTGTTGGTACCACTAGGATTTTTTTTTTGTGTATGTTTGAATTTCTTTGGTGTTGAAAAAATTTCAAAATGACATTCTAACTGTTTGAGTAGTATAGTAATGGGGGTAGTTTTAAGGATAGAGGTCCCTGAAGTTTTCACTTTTTGCCATGAATGGATGACGTTACGATGAAATACGTTGCTAGGGAGTTGTGAATGAATGTCACCATTTTGATTCAACACTTTGTGTTGTATGTGTTGTAATTGCATTTTCTGCATCAAAGAGTGAGAAGTGATATGCACAGTTATGTAGCATCACAATATTAGAACAGATACTGAATATAAAGATAAGGGAGTTTTGGTATGATTGCCCATATAGTTGATAACATCCTTCTCCTTTGGTATCTGGTGGACAGCTGAGCTGAGCTTTCCACCAGATACCAAAGGAGAAGAATGTAAACAACTATAGGTCACCATATAGCCTTCAACAAAAACAATGAGCAAAACTCATACTGTATTGTAAATTATATAAAAGGTCCAACCTGACAAAATGTTAAACATTTCAAAAGAGAAAAACAACTACCTGATTTATGCAAAAAAAAAAACAAACCATGAAAGACTTAACGCTAGTTCAAAGCCTTATTTCAACTAATATTAAAATGGACCCATGTTTTCACCTGCCTAGTTTGCTCTTGATAGCATGCCTGCCTCAAGTGTAAGAGGTCCAGGGTTTCATTCAGTGGAAGGGTCAAACTTGAAAATTGCTATTTGAGGCTTCTCTCCTAAGCATGCAACATTTGGGAGTAAGAGCTAGGACTGATCGACTCGGGAGTAAAAATAATGTGTCCTGATAGGTTGACAGGTCTTCCTGGGGATTGTTTATCTTGTGAACTAGCACATTTAAAAAGTTTGGCTCAGCCCTTGGTCCAGTACAAAGCAGGATTTATATCAATATCACATTAATATGTTCTCATCCTAATATGCAAGTAATATTTTGCCACTGGACATTAAACAATCCATCCATCTGAGACTATAATATTGATTGGTTTTAGTGTTAAGTTGTCATAAGCAGTCTGAACCATATGACCTTATACAGTGCCAAATAATAATAATAATAATGATAATAATAAATTCTTTATTGAAAGAGGGTAAACACAGTTAGTTACAAAAAACTAATCTTCCCTGAGACCCTCACATACAAATTACAATACAATCAAAAACAGATATTTACACCATAGTTAATTTACAGTCAAGTAGTTCAATGTTTATTATAAACATTACTTACTTAATCCTCTTTGTGCGTACTTGCACATGAGGACACTACCAACGCCCTCCATTGTTACCTGTCTTGTGCCTTTCTTTCTGCCTCTCCCATGTCATTCCCATGATTCTCAGTTCACTCTCTATTGTGCATAGCCATGTTTCTTTCGGTCTCCCTCTCTTTCTTTTCCCCTCTGCAGGTGTCTATCGAAGAGCTATCTTTGTTATATCATGTTTGTCTTTTCATAGAACATGGCCAATCCATTTCCATCGCCTTTCTTTAATTTCTGCTCTGATGTCTCTTTGTAAGGTTAAGTTGTATAGGTATTTATCATCTATAGAAGATCTTGCAAATTTTACACGTATTATGGAATGATGACAGTTTGTTGAAGTCAGATTTTATAACTCTCCATGACTCTGCACCATATAGCAAAACTGATTTCACATTGCTATTGTAGATTTTGATTTTTTTGGCCCTGGATATTGATGTTGTTTTCCATATTGTTCGAAGTCTACAGAAAGAAGTTCTTGTTTTGTTGATCCTTGCCATTATATCTTTGCTAGTTCCGTTATCCTGGCTGATATTAGTACCAAGATAGGTAAAATTTTCCACTTCTATGTTTTCTCCTTTAACTGTTATTGTAGTTTTCTAGTTTTGTCATTTAGGCTTATTATCTTTGTCTTTTGTGTATTTATCTTTAAACCTACAGATAAAGCAGTCTCATGTAGTCTTGATGTTTTGTTCTGCATGTTTATTCGATTTGTTGTTAATAGGCATATGTCGTCTGCAAAATCTAGGTCTTCTAAGATTGTGTTCATCGACTATCTTATTCCAGTTGTTCTATTCCCAAGTGTTCTTCTCGTGCGCTCCAGAATGTACATTGAACCAGGTGGATTGGGTTCCATTGTGTAGGACACAGCATCTATAGTTGTTGTAAAATAATTTGATCATGTTAATTATTTTATCATGTATGCCGTATGTTCTCATTATTTCCCACATGCTGGCTCTGTCCAAGCTATCAAAAGCCTTTTCGAAGTCCACAAAATTTATGACGATGTTGTGTTGCCATTCTTATGCACTGCTTAATGATGTTTCTGAGTGTGAATATGTGATCACTACACCCTTTATTGGCTCTAAAACCTGCTTGTTCTTTCCGCAGGTTGTCATCTAAATCATCTATTGCTCTCCTGGCAATAACTCGAAGGAACACTTTTGCAGGTACAGATAGTAGAGATATACCTCTCCAGTTGTTGCAATTCTTCATATCACCTTTTTTGCAAGGTTAACCAGTAGTCCTTCTTCCCAGTCTTTAGGAATAACTTCTTCCTCTCATATTCTGCTAACTATTGTGTGTAGTATTGATGCTGTTGTTTCTACATCTGACTTAAGGAGTTCTGCACTGATGTTGTCTACTCCAGCTAATTTACCATTTTTGAGCTTGCATAATGCTTTCTTTATTTCACCAAGTTATAATTTTTTTTCCTCTGGTATATCTATTTTCATTTTCTCTTCGGTGTTATCAATTTGTGCTGGTTTCTCTGGTGGTTCTCTGTTTAAAACTTCCCGAAAGTGCTCTGCCAATCTTTCAAGTTTCTGTGCCTTCGATGTTAATACCTCTCCATTCTTGCTTAAAACTGGTGTGTCATTGTTGTTACTTTTCCCACATAGCTGTTTAGTGATCTTGTATACAGTACTTAGTTCTCCATGTTTGCATGCCTCTTCTGCTTCATTGGCTAATCCTTCAATATATCGGAGTTTGTCTTCTCTAGCTTTTTTCTTAACTTCTTTATTAGCTCTTAGTTTTCTTTTTGTAGCTTTACTTTCAACCTTTCTGATCTTGCCTGGTTGCACTTACTTTTTGTAAATCTTCTCTTTTCTATAACATTCCTGGTTGTATCTGAAATCCACCTTTTCCTTGTACTGTCTCTAATTCCAAGTATATCAGCAGCTGTATCATTAAACATAGTTTTTACTTTGTTCCAATGTTCATTTAGATCCGGACCAATGTTGTCGTTGTTTTCACTGATATTTTGTAATGTTTGGTATTGGTTTCTTATGCTGATGTTAAATTTTTGTCTCATCTGGTTGTCTTTAAGGCGATGGACGTTGTATGCTTTTCTGTTATGTTGTGGTCTGACTACCTTTCTCGGTTTAAGTTTAATCTTCCCAAGTAGAAGGTGGTGGTCACTTCCACAATCTGATCTCCTTTTAACACAGACATCCATCAGAGACTTTCTCCATCTTCCATTTACAATTATGTGTTCTATCTGGTTTTGGTCCCTGCCATTTGGTGAGTTCCATGTAAGCTTGTGAATGTCCTTGTGTGGAAATAAGGATCCTCCTACAACTAAATCATTCAAGCCGCATAAATCTACGAAAAGTTCACCATTTTCATTGCATTCTCCACATCCATGTCTGCCCATTATTCTTTCCTTACATGAGTTATCTGCCCCCAATCTTTGCATTTAGATCACCAATTACAAGACATAAACATGTGCTGGTACTTTACTAACAAGTGATTGTATTTTGTCGTAAAAGTTATTCTTGTCCTCAATACTTGCTTCGTTGGTAGGTGCATAGCATTGAATCACTGACAGTTTCGAATATTTTGAGTAGAACTTTGCCATAACAAGCCTTTCGTCAACTGGTTTCCATTCTAGAAGATCTCTTTTTGCTTCATTGCTCAATACTAAAGCAAATACCTCATAGTGTTTGTTGTCTGTTCAGCCTGAGTACAGTATGGTCTCCCCTGTGTCAGTTGTAGTCGATCCGTTGTTTACCCATCTACATTCGCTTACACCAAGTATACTGATGTTATACCTTTTCATCTCATTAACAACTTGTGCTGTTTTTCTTGTCTCATACATGGTCCGCACATTCCATGCCCCTATGCTGAGAACATTTTTTGGCGTTAAGAGTCCACACTTCTTGCCACTAGCTGCATTTCTGCTTTCACTAGAAACATTCATTGGGTCATCTGTATGACGTATGTCCTCGTTCACGCAATTCCGAGTTTCTTTTAGTGTGGTTTCCGTAATCAGCTTCATTTTACTCTGCCTGGTGATTAGCCATGCGAGAAACCTACTACCTGCAGGATTGAGTTTTGCTGTCTGAGTTTTCTTTCCCATAGACGATTGCCTACCATGGCTGACGAGCTCCATCTTCCCTACTTTTCTTTCTGGGTCTGCTCCCATAACCTTTGATCTTCCCAAATCTAACCACAAGGCAGTGGTACTATTTACCCATAGTTGGGACAGACTGATGAGTGCAAGGGCGTGTCCACGCGCCGGTGGGCCTACACACTGCATCTCTAGGGCCCTTGCTGCTCCAAGATCCTCTACAATAATGCCTAGGATGCTAGATCCTAGTTATCATGTGCTATCGCTGGGAGGCATTGTAGAAGTCTTGAATAGTGTAGAGGCTATGTACTGGCCGAAAGACTTACGCACTCGGCTTTCTTTTCACCTGCAAAGCAGGCTAGCCAGCGGTGATAAAGAGCCCATGGCTCTAACCACACTAGACGCATACACAATCCTGTGGTATAAACCACCAGCACACACAAAATATTATAAATATGATAAGAAGTAAAACTGTTCAAGAGGTACGTTTAGTAAAAAATTAAAATAATTAAAAATAAAATCAAAATAAAATGAAAAATATACAAATCAAAATATACATTGTAGTAAACAGAATCTTATCAGGACTGTGTCAAGTACCTCTTGATACTTTGTTTAAAAGTAAAAGTGTTTAATGCAATGCCCATTCGTTATGTATTAATACCCTTAACGGTACCAATTAATACCCCCATCACACTAGGATCATCATCCCGCTACGATCTCAGAAATTATGAAAAATTTTGGACGTCGTATTAAGATCGTTGTGGTCGTGGTAAGGACGTGTCAAGGTCTTTATGATCGTGGAGGTTCACGACCAACTTTGAACATGCTCAAAACATTCGTAGTGCAGTCATGGCAAAAACTAGTCTTGGTAGAAGCGTAGGAAGGTCGTAAAAAAGGACGTAGTAAGATCGGGATGGGCGTAGAAGCATCGTATTGGAAATCGTGGTGCAATCGGGAAGACGAGGGAAAAGATTTCGCTGCGACCTTACTACAATTTCACTGTGACTATCCCGATTTCACTACGTCTTTATTATGCCGCTACTACGATATTGGTACGATTATACTACGACGAGGAAGACAATAGTACGCTGCTACTACGCGCTTGCCGTCTTAAGTACGACCTTACTAGCATACTACTACGTCCTAGCCACGAAAATTGCACGACCTCATTCTGTTGATATAAAAAAAAACGGATTCAATAATTCCTAGCTGTAGTTCAACCATTGACACAAATGAGCAAATTCTACTTCTGCAATTTTTAATTCAGCTGCACTGTATCGATTTGGCTGATCAGGCTACACTTTTAGTTATAGAAGAAGGAGAAGACATACTAGACAGGTTAGGTCCTGTTTGGTGCGCCCATGGCTTTCTGTTGATAGAAGACTCCAGTTCGGGCATTACGACCGACTTATGAAAGAATTAAAGATGGAGGATCAATAGTCATTCTTTGATTTTTAAGGATGCCTCCGGAAAAAAGTAATAAAAACCAAAAATACCGAGCTCCAAGGAAAATTCAAAACGGAAAGTCCTTTATCAAATGACAAAATCAAAAGCTCAAACACATCAAACGAATGGAAAACAACCGTCTTTATAAAGCACAAAAATGTCGGCATTCACCTCAAAAGCTAACCAATACCTTTAAACAGACTTATTCGGAAGGGATATAGTTACGATACTGTTGTCAGATCATTAAGGATTGCATATTTTGGTATTAATATTGATTCACTCATAGGGTTTTTTGCATCGGAAATAAACACATTTATTCTAAAACCAGTTGTTGGCATGATACGGGTTATGTTCTTTTCATATATTTTATGATGGTATGATACTAAACCCCTAACGGGAGAGATTGTACCTGATTTTCATATGATGAAGACATAATCTTTCAATCAGTTTAATTGAGGTCTGGAGCTGGCATGTCAGTAACTGCTAGTAGTCCTTTGTTAATTTATGTATCATTGTCATTTTGCTTAGTTTCTTTTGTTACCTATTCTGACATCGGACTCGGACTTTTTTTAAACTGAGTTTTACTGTGCGTATTGCTATGTGTTTCTTTATTCTACATTGGCTAGAAGTATAGGGGGAGGGTTGAGATCTCACAAAACATGTTTAACCCCGCCGCATTTTTGCGCCTGTCCCAAGTCAGGAGCCTCTGGCCTTTGTTAGTCTTGTATGTTGTGATGTTACACTATTGTTTCAGAAAAAGGGTGAAGGTTTGGTACCATTAAAACGTTTAAACCCGCTGCATTTGTTTGCACCTGTCCTAAGTCAGGAATCTGATGTTCAGTAGTTGTCGTTTGTTGATGTGTTTCATAAGTGTTTCTCGTTTCTCGTTTTTTATATAGATTAAACCGTTGGTTTTTCCGTTTGAATGGTTTTACACTAGTAATTTTTTGGGGCCCTTTATAGCTTACTGTTCGGTGTGATCCAAGGCTCCGTGTTGAAGACCGTACTGTGACCTATAATGGTTTACTTTTATAAATTTTTACTTGGATGGAGAGTTGTCTCATTGGCACTCATACCACATCTTCTTATGTCTATTGTATGTTTTTTTTTATTTTAGTTCCTTTATATGTTTTGGAGTTTAGTGTGACGTCCATTTTCACTGAACCAGTACACAATTTTATTAGGGGCCAGCTGAGGACCACCTCCGGGTGCGGGTTTTTCTCGCTGCGTTGAAGACCCATTGGTGGCCTTCGTCTGTTATCTGCTCTTTGGTCGGGTTTTGTCTCTTTGACATATTCCCCATTCCCATTCTCAATTTTATGTCATATTCCTGACTTGGTACAGGCATTTCCTTATGTAGGAAATTGTGGAATGTTTGGTGAACTTTTGAACAGAGTAAGTCCTCGAATTTAAAAGATAGACACCCGATTCAGAAAGGCACTAGATCCCGGTCTAAAAGTTGCTATTACCTTAAGGCACTTAACTTCTGGCGATAGGTATCCAACCCTTCAGTACGATTTCAGAGTCGCGCGCATTACTATAAGTACTTTTATACCGGAGGTTAGCCAGGCAATTGTACAGGACGTGTTTTTCAACAGACTGTCGGAATTCCAATGGGAACCAATTGTGCCCCTCTTCTTGCCGACTTGTTTCTTTATTATTATGAGGCTGACTTCATACAGGAACTTCTTAGGAAGAAAGATAAGAAGTTAGCAATATCTTTTAACTTTACGTTTCGCTATATAGATGATGTTCTCTCACTAAATAATACAAAAATTGGTGACTATGTTGAACGAATCTATCCCATCGAACTAGAGATAAAGGATACTACAGATACAGTTAAGTCTGCCTCATATCTTGACTTACATCTAGAAATTGACAATGAGGGTCGGTTGAAAACAAAAGAGATGATTTCAGCTTCCCAATTGTGAACTTTCCATTTCTATGTAGCAACATTCCAGCAGCGCCTGCATACGGAGTATATATCTCCCAATTGATACGATATTCCCGGGCTTGTGTTTCCTATCATGATTTCCTTGATAGAGGATTGCTGCTCACAAGGAAGCTATTAAACCAAGAGTTCCAAATGGTGAAGTTGAAGTCATCCCTTCGTAAATTTTACGGACGCCATCACGAGTTGGTTGACCGTTATGTAATAACCGTTTCACAGTTGATATCGGATATGTTATTTATGTCGTAACTACAATACCCTCCCTTTTCACGAATGTGACTTGCCGAATTAGACTATTTACCGGATTTGTAATAACATAAGCAACACGACGGGTGCCACATGTGGAGCAGGATCTGCTTACCCTTCCGGAGCACCTGAGGTCACCCCCGGTTTTTGGTGGGGTTCGTGTTGCTTAGTCTTTTGTTTTCTGTGTTGTGTCATCTGTACTGTTGTTTGTCTGTTTGTCTTTTTACTGTTGGCCATGGCGTTGTCAGTTTATTTGTTTTCGATCTGTGAGTTTGACTGTCCCTATGGTATCTTTCGTCCCTCTTCAATCACATCTCATTATATTATATATAATAAAAAGCAGATATCAAGAAGCTTAGCAGAATAATTGATAATCAAGAATAAAGTTCAACCAAACTTGAAGAAAGCAAATTAGAATACAATCAATATTTATAATTTATCTTGAAAGTTAGGTATGTCGTAGGTTAAAAGCTCTATAAAGCTTATGTTATGTCCTTGTTTGTTCAATTCAATTCAAAGTTAAAATTATTTAAAGTCGATATTCAATAAACTACATAAACACAAGCTCTAGTGAGTTCAAATCGACCCAGGATAACAAAAATGTATACACACGAAAACAACACAATTTAAAAGATACAGTGGATAAATACCATAGATAACATATTAAAGTGAAAAGCATAGAATGCAAAATAAAGTATACCTTAAAACATAGCATAAGTTAGAATGTAAAGCACAGCATATAATAGCAACTAAAAGAGCTAAACAAATCGAACATTCAAACAAAATAAAAAATAAAAAAAGCACAAGCATAATAGCACTATATGGATGCACTGCACTGGCATGAGCTGTTATCTGGATCCCATGTTTGTACCAATTTTTGGAAATTGTCAAAAGATGTTTCCATTCGATCTGAGACTACTATAACACTGTGTTATAGCAGACTGTAACACTGTGTTATAGTAGTCTCAGATTCGATGTTGTATACTATGCTGATTCTAAATAAAGCTTATTTACCATATTTATTTATTGTCGATTTACAATTTCGGTCTTTCACAAGATTTACCAATTTAACATTATAGCCGTTTTATTTAAAGATCAATATGGATCTCTTATATAAAAAATTAGTCTTAAAATCTCAGATACTCCTGTATGGAGCCTCATTAGTAAGAGTTCAGTCCCTTTAAGAAAATCTCCTAAAAGAATTTGCAACATAAAAATGTGACGTCGATTTTCTTCGACCAATCAGGACTGCCTCCAAGATCAACAAACGTACGGAATGAAAGTAGGTGCAGAAACATAAAATAAATGTATTTTCATCTAATTTAAAGGTTATTTAATGAACTCAAATGTTGCAGATAAATTTTTCACACCAATCAATACAGTTAGTTGAATGACTAGGTGCTAAATATTCCTACAAAGTCGAATGGATTATGAATTGTTTACTACGAGTTCCAAACAAGTTCGGACAGATGTTTCATGCAAAATTAATGTGTATTTTTATTGTATCTTTCTCCTAAAACTATAAATCGACCAGGTAGTAAACATTTTTTTGTCAAAAATAATCAGTTGATTTCTGTATTTTACACATTTTGTTTACACTGATAAATGTGCAACCTGCTGCAACAAGAATATAAATTTTACCGCGGATTAGGGCCATACATAGGGATATATTTTGTTTTTGTATATAACTTAAATATTAACTTGTTTAGATAAATAGGCCACGTATGCACCAGTTATCAATCATCTTTATTCAGATGGAAAACCGGAAAACTTAAAGAAGATATTACCGCAAAGTTGCACTTTTTGCAGAATTTTTTTTTCACCATGTAAGATAAATTTGTGATTTATGAGATATTTTTGTCTTTTTTACAGTACACGATTTCAATTGTAAATGTCTTAATACTCTTTAGACAGTTAAACCCAAAAAAATTGCATTGTTGTGTGTTTTTGCACCAGTCACTTATTTCTGTGAAGAAAAAGATTTGCACCTTTATAATAAAAGTTAAAGAAAAACTTGAACCATAATAGGATGCAGGTGCTACATTGAGCCAAAACTACTATCGATTAAGTGTCAAAAGACATTTGTAAAATATCTCCTTTATTTTTATTTGTTGTAATTTCCTTCTTTCAGTAATGTCTATGGAGAGGGGTTTACGTGCAACTTCACCAGTGCATGTACATGTTGAAGATGATGTCCCCATACATGTTCATGTGAAACAGAAAACTAAAACTAAGAAGGCAGCTGGCAAGGTTGGTTAAGTTCTTTGATTTGAAAAAAAATGTGGGAATGTAAAATTGAGAATGGAAACGGGGAATGTGTCAAAGAGACAACAACCCACCCAAAGAGCAGAAAACAGCCCAAGGCCACAAATGGGTCTAAAATGAGGCGGGTTTAAGATGTTTTGTTAGATCTTAACCTTCCCCCTAAAGCCAATGTAGAATAAACAAACACACAGTAATACACACTGTAAAACTCAGTTTAAAAGAAGTTCGAGTCCGATGTTGGAATAGGTAATAGAAAAACTACATGTAAGCAAAATGAAAATGATCAACATAATTTAACAAAGGACTACTAGCAGTTACTGACATGCCAGCTCTAGACCTCAATTAAACTGATCGAAAGATTATGTCTTCATCATATTAAAATCAAGCACAATCCCTCCTGTTAGGGGTTTAGTATCATACCATCATAAAATATATGAGAAGAACATAACCTGTATCATGCTAACAACTGGTTTTAGAATAAATGTGTTTATTTCTGATGCAAAGATCCTATGAGTGAATCAATATTAATTGAGCTTTAAAAAGTAAATATGCATACAGATTATATATGCTCTACAATTTAAGTTGTTATACATATTCAGTAGAATAAGGAAGAATGCCTTATTATACCTTCATTTCAAAAATAAATAATGAAATTTCTTTGTTTTCAAGACCTCAAGTACAAATCTTGCTAGATCTGGACGCATCAAGAAACCATGTAGTGCCAAGGCTCGAGTAAAAAGTTCACAGACAGGTCCATGGGTTCCTGCTCCTGCAAAATCATCAAGAAGTCAAAAGGTCACATGGCAGGTATGTACAATAATTTTAACAAAAATATCATAAGGACATATATGTAACAATTGATGCATTTGTTTTTTTCATTCAACTTGAATATTTTAAATAATGCACAATAAATGTAGTTCAATCCTGGCTCATGTTTATTTGTCTGTGTTTAACCTCAACTTCAAGTGTTTAACCATGACCTTTGCTGTCTATATCTCCTAATATAGATGTCTACATGTGTATGTATAAACTTTATGAGTTTGTTAGATCTCTGCTCTTTGTTAAATCAATTCTCAAACTGTCTTGTAGCGATTTGTCTCATTGGCAATTTTACCACATCTTCTTATTTTTATATTGATTCAGGAATAGCCTTTTGCATGGTTTCTTTGAAAAAAAAGTCAAGCATATATGTATTGTAATGATTTTGGTCACTGAAAAAAAGACAGTTGGATCCAGAAATACACAAATTTCCTTTTGAGTAATTTCAAATATTTTTTTCTGCACTTGGTACAAAATTTTGTTTTTAACCTTTGCATGAAGGAAGGAACTGTTTAATATTTGAAACTGAATCAGTTTTTACATTATATTTCATATAGCTTTTTGTTTATTTTTATTGTTGAAGCAAATTCTGCTGTAAAACCATTGAAGAGGCCTGTTTTTATACGACCGCAAAAAAATTTTGTGGTCGTATATTGGTATGACGTTGGCGGCGTCGTCGTCCGAAGACACATTGGTTTTCGCACTCTAACTTTAGTTTAAGTGAATGGATCTCTATGAAATTTTACCATAAGGTTCAATACCACAAAAGGAAGGTGGGGATTGATTTTGGGGGTTATGGTACCAACAGTTAAGGAATTAGGGGGCAAAAAGGGGCCAAAAATAAGCATTTTTGTAACTTCCAGACATAACTTGTGTGTTAGTGTATGGATCTCTCTGACATTGTACCACAAGGTTCCATATCACAAAGGGAATGCTGGGATTGATTTTGGGGATAATTGCCTCCCAATTTTAGGAATTAGGGGCCAAAAAGGGGAAAAAACAAGCATTTTTCTAGTTTCATGACAATAACTTGTGTGTAAGTGTATGGATCTCTCTGACATTGTACCATAAGGTTCCATATCACAAAGGGAATGCTGGGATTGATTTTGGGGGTAATTGCCTCCAAATTTTAGGAATTAGGGGCCAAAAAGGGGCAAAAAATAAGCATTTTTTAGTTTCCAGACAATAACTTGTGTTCAAGTGTATGGATCTCTCTCTGAAATTGTACTGCAAGGTACCAAACCACAAAGGGAAGGCTGGGATTGATTTTGGGGGTAATTCCCTAGAAATTTGAGGAATTAGGGGCCATAAAGGGGCAAAAAAACAAGCATTTTTCTAGTTTCAGGACAATAACTTGTGTGTAAGTGTATGGATCTTTATGAAATTCTACTGCAAGGTTCCATGTCACAAAGGGAAAGCTGGGTTTGAGTTTGGGGGTAATTGCCCTAAATGTTTAGGAATTTGGGGCCAAAAAACAAGCATTTTTGTCGAGCCTTCGACTTTTGTCGAAAAAGCGAGACATAGCGATCCTACATTCCGTCGGCGGCGGCGGCGTCCACAAATATTCACTCTGTGGTTAAAGTTTTTGAAATTTTAATAACTTTCTTAAACTATCCTGGATTTCTACCAAACTTGGACAGAAGCTTGTTTATGATCATAAGATAATATTCAAAAGTAAATTTTGTAAAAAAAAAATTCCACTTTTTCCGTATTTAACTTATAAATGGACTTAGTTTTTCTGCCAGGAAACATTACATTCACTCTGTGGTTAAAGTTTTTGAAATTTTAATAACTTTCTTAAACTATCCTGGATTTGTACCAAACTTGGAAAGAAGCTTGTTTGTGATCATAAGATAGTATCCAGAAGTAAATTTTGTAAAAAAAAAATTCCCATTTTTTCCGTATTTTACTTATAAATGGACTTAGTTTTTCTGCCAGTTAACATTACATTCACTCTGTGGTTAAAGTTTTTAAAATTTTAACAACTTTCTTAAACTATCCTGGATTTGTACCAAACTTGGACAGAAGCTTGTTTATGATTATATATATATATAGCTTTTAAACCATGAAACGGTATAATAAAATATAAAATTCTATTATCTTTAAAGGGCCCTACTCACAGACTTGAAATAAACAACCCTACCAGAGTTGAGGACCTTTCTACAGATGAAGAAGAACAGGTCCATGATCAAATGAGAGGTTATGAAAAGAAAATAGACAGTCTCATGACAGAGGTTGGAACTCTGAAAAATGAGGTACACCATCACTCAAGAAAACATACAAGTCCTATTTTTATTATGTATAATTTGTTGACTTTTGATGATATATAACATTGACATAAGGATGTCAACATAGTGTGGAATGATATATACTTAGTTTGATTTTCAATTACAGCCTCTTGTTCCACTTTTTTACATAATCCAACTTACCAATGTTAAATCCTGTTGTGACTACAAATAAGAAAATTGTACACACACCAATCTATAGCATGATGTTTCTGTTATATAATTGTTTAGAGTTGTACTCATGTCTACACCATGTTGTTTATTATGGAATCAGTTAAAACTGCATATAATATGATTTTTGTTCTTTCATAAATTACATACATATATGTTTTAGTTGTCTGGTCTTACCAGGCTATTATTTGGAATAGATATTTATTCATTGTCTGTAAAATTCTTCAGCTTTTTGTTAAATATTCGATAAGAAAAAGCAATGGCTCTTTAATTTGAAATATCTAAATTTTGATAATTCAAAGTGAAATGTTGCCAAGAAGTTTATTTATACCACTACTCTGATGGAGGGGGTGTACTTTTTTGTCCCTTTTTTACATCTCTCTGTCTGTCCCACTAAATTTCCTGTTGCAGTTACATGTGTGTCTTAAAAACTACAAATTAAAGCTTCCTGGTATCAAGCATCAAGCAAGATAGACTGCTATAGGTTGCACTTATGTAAATATAGACAATGCAATTTCCCATAGGGACTCCTTTTACGGCTAAAACTGTGCCACTTTTACTATGAAGTTTCGTAAAAAACTATCCTAGAATGGAAAGTCCATATGTTCTACAATTTTTTTCAAAGGTCAAAATATAGGGCTGTGCCGCATATTTTCAACATTTATATGCCCTGAACTTCTAAGAGTTTAAACTTATACTAAAATTCTGTACTACCCCTGCCTTCACTTTTGGTCCTCCTCAGAATTCAATTTCGCCGCTATCCATGTGTATTTATACTGGTAACATTCCCAAGTTATGTCTCTATGAGATGAAACATAGAGATCATATCTGGGAACCAGTACGTAAACAAAACAAAATATCTATGAATATTATATGTCTCCCAAAAAGAGGCATGGTTTGTGAAACAGCTGTATTTACAAAGTGCAACCTATACTGTGTGATGCATTTTATGTTCATTATTCAATACATAGTACTTATAGAGGGTATCATTGGTAAGAAATAACTCACAGTTAAACTTTTTATATTTAATATTGAGAATGTATAAGTATGTATACTTAATCAGGATAAATATAGATAATCAGGTTTATTGTAAGAAGATACATGCAATAATTTGATACAAAGTACATGATCATGTGCTACTTTTAGGCATAGGCAGTTGTTGAAATCATGTTGAAAAGTACAGGGTTTATTGTGTTGACTTATGTGGCATATAAAGTAACCATTTTCATACTGCACAAGATTATTTTAGATTATTTTGAAAGTTTATTCTGATGTTTGATTTTTTAAATTTAGAAAAAAGAAGAGGTAAGCCAAAAACTTTCTGGCAATTGTGGTATTTTTTCTCTCAATTCACATACATGTTTGTATTTGTGCTTAAGGTTTGACAGAATTTCTGATTTCAATAAAGTCTTAGAATTTGCTAACTTCTATGTCATTTGGTCTCTGGTAGAGAGTTGTCTCATTGGCACTCATACCACATCATCTTATTTATATATTTAAGAAAAAAAACTTCTCTGGTAGATGTTTGAAACAATTCAAGTAAAATCAATGTTCCAGTATAGATTGTTGTAGAAGAAAAATGTTTCAGTATACAAGGAATGCAATATACATAATATACATAAGCATGTAAAAGTTTTGAATGTGTGGTTTGTATTTGATTGCTAATAGGGATATTAAAACTTTAGAACAGCGCATCTGAGATTTTAAAAGAAAACAACACTGACATCATCAACCTAGTTGTAGAAATTTTAAAAGCACTGCAAAGGAAGTGGCCTCATTGTTCATGTTGTTATAAACGAAAGTGGTTGGAAATAAATTAATTTCATTCATTATTTCCTCTGTATTCCCTTAATGAAGTCACAGTAACAGTTTCAATAATTTGTCATTCTGTTAAAAAAATTTGTTGTATGTTTGTTTTCTATTTTGAAAATAAATGTTATAGTATCAGTTAAAGTCAATAAGTAAATTTAAAGTTTGTAAAAAATAGAGAATGGTATATTTTTAATATAGCTGATATTGATTTCATATCTATCTTGTAGAAATCTAAAGGAAAACGAAGGGTAATGCTAGTGTTGATATGATGTGAAATTAATTGTTTATAACTGTAGAAAAAAATGTTGTTGAGGGGGAAACAACCATGTTTTGATTAAGCAGAATATAAAACTTTTGCTCTGGTGATAATTTTTAAATATACCCTTTGTTATATATGAGGGTGAAAGATAGTATGAAATTAATGTGTCCATACTTGCTTTTGATAAACTCTTACTCTTAAATAAATTATGTATGTTAACATTTTGTGGTCATATCATGCTGTGCTAATGAACCAGTAATGGTAGCCCTTTATTTTACTTGTGCTGCACCAACGGTTTTGTAAATAATGATATAAATTATGCCCACTGCACATAGATAGGATTTACATGAATGTTTCTGTTTATTTGTCTGGCTTTCCTATCTCTTTGTTCATGAATTTAATAATTGCAACTTTTACTAAACTCTGAAATGGACTACTATGAACTTTAAATAAGGGCAGAATAATGCCAACTAATTCAGCTCCATTTTTTTTAAAAGAGATATAATTAACAAATTTAGATTTGTTTGATTCATCATATTGAATTGATTTTGTTATGCAACTTCTAACTTTCTAATTTCAATGAAAATATGATATAAAACTTGTTTAGAGTGTTGTTTGCATTTACATAAAGCTAAACTATATTCATGTATGTAAGAGGGTTTGGTTTCACTGTGTGGCTTCTGTTTTCTATAGTGTTAATATCAACATTTTGGTTTAAATTTTTGTTTGTTTGAAGAAAATTGTATTTTGAATTGATTTCTCATTTAATCACTCAATAAATGCCTCTATATATAACAGGTAGAAAACATGGATTTTAGAAAGATAATAAATTAAGTTAACTTAAATCTCTTGAAAATAGTACTATAGCATTAATGTAATTAAGTTGCAGTGTATTATTACTTTTACAAAAATGACAATAGCACTAAATTGTTGTCAATTAAAACCATTTTCTTGAACTTAAATAATATTTCTGTTGATGATTTTTCAGGTAGAGCTACAACACACATATAAAGAACTAGAAGACAAAGAAGATATGTTAGAGGCATCTAAACATGTGATGGCTGAACAATCCAGAGAACTAGACAAAACAATGGATGAGTTGACGTTAACAGAAAGAGAAAATAGACTTTTGAGGAAGAGTGTGGAATTGTTAGCCGATGAAAAAGATGAAGCAAGGTGAAGTATAACACAATAAATCAACATCATCAACACATTAAGATAATGTGAACTACATTAGAACCTCGTTAAGTCGAAGTCGAAGGGACAGAATGAAAGTATTTGACATCTGAGGTTAGAGTGTGTCATAATAAATTTAAAATGCAGTACAAGATTTGTGTAAACTTGATATTTGGAACATTGTGCCTTTTTTGATATGACAATTTATTTGTGTATTCAATTATCATATTTTTTTGGTCCATCACAATCATTAAACACTAAAAAGTACAGACTCAAAACATTCACAAATAAAATCAATACACAAATATTTACAAAGGTCAGTCACTATAGATTATGGAATCACTTACCAAAGTCCTGAAAGATCATTTATGAGGGTAGTCTGCTTTGCATTCAGTTATTGTAAATTTTTCATAATTGTCTTGATCCTTTTTATTATTGTAATTAAAGAATCTTGATTGAAACGATTCTTTTAATCTTGGCTTGGGTCATTTGAATTCGTTTTACTTTATTATCAGGAGAAATATGTTGATCACGCTAAAGGTAAGGTCCGCTTTGACGATCAATAGCATGTCATTTTTACTGTTATGTATACAAACGAGTATGTTTACACTGCTTTAATCACTTATGAAAATGATTAAGTTACATAATGAAAACATTCTATTTGATTTTAATTTTAAAGTATGTATTTTTCGAAATATTTTACTTTCCAACTTCGAGACATCAGGGTCAATTTACATTAATTTTCCATCGACAGGACTATAAAATTTATTTGACTTAACTGAGAATTGAATCAACCAAATTCGACTAATAAGAGGTTAAATGCATTGATTAGACAAGAATTTTGAGTTTTCTACACAATGAGGTTCGACTATACTTAAATAAACAAGAAAGAAAAATCTCTTTGTTGTATGTTGTTTATTTAGTTGTGAGGTTAGTAAATATTAATTCAAAAATGCTTTAAAAAATATTTCATGACATGAATTTGTCAAATCTAACTGTTCACAGATAAACAAACATACAAACACACTTCCTTTTATTCAAAAACAATAATATCTTTCCATAAATGCTTTATTTTGTCTGTTCCCAGACTTTGTGAAAATTGTCAGACCTGTCTGTCCTGAAGGCCAAAATTTGACTAGGTCCATCATTTTAAAGTTTTGTGCCAGTCCCATTGTTTGACTATTTTGTATAGACAAAAGAGGCCGTTGTGTTACACTCTTATGACATTTGGTCAAATCATAAAATTGAGAATGGAAACGGGGAATGCGTCAAAGAGACAACATCCAGACCAAAGAGCAGAAAACAGCATAAGGCCACCAATGGGTCTTTAACACAGTGAAAATGGACGTCACACTAAACTCTGAAACATATAAATGAACCAAATTTAAAAAAAACATACAAAATTAACAATGGCCAGAGTACACTGGTTTCAGTTTTACCTGTAATAATTTGTCATCCAAATCATGACTTTAGTACCAGTATTAAGAGATTTCAATGGCAAGGTGGCTAGTCCTATATCTGACCCCAGACTTTATGTTCTTCTAAATTAAGGGAAGACTAGTAAAGCATTATAAATAATAATCAGTGTGTATTTTGGTTAATAATTAATAGTAGTCCTGTCGCATAGTTTAACACATACAAAATGAGGTAATTAAAGTTGTTCCAATGTGAATTATTTATGTTGTTTTTAAATTAAAAGTGAATGTTTAAATTATATCTAGTTCAATACTGGATTTGTTTCTGTAAGTAATGGAAAACATGTCCCTACTGTAGCATTTACCGATAATTAATACATAATTTCTGAAAAGGAATAAATCTTTTTTTTTCAACAGATATGATACAGAAGTATTAGGAACTGAGAGAGAAAGACTGATGAAGAAACTAATTGAAACAGAAATGGATGGGCAGGCTGCAGTAAAACAGATTGGAGAGTTAAGAGATGCTCTCAGAAGACTGAGAGAGGTGCTAACTTTAATGGGGGATGTTCAATATCTAATTGTTTGCTAATCAGTATACTATAGATATTTCAACTAACAAATCATGACAAATCACTAATAAGTCATGAGCAAACAAGTGTAATTAATGAATTTAGTTCATAAGGTTTTTTAGTTCACCAGGTTAAACTCCATGTGTGTTTTCATATTCCTTACAAAATTCTTTTTGGGTATTATTAGAACAGATGAATTGAAATAATACCAAACAATGCATAAATGTTCCTTAGAAGGTACTTGCATTGTGTTGTTACTTTGGTTCTGATGATAAGCCCAACATTGCTTCACAGGACCAAAAGGGGTCTAGTTGATTCTTATTTTTAAACATTTTCTTTAAAATTACTGAATCAATTAAATTTATACTCCATATGTTATAATTTTGGTTCTTGTAAAAAGCCTATTGTTTCAGACTCAGGGCCATTGGCTAAGGGGTCTAAGTAATTCATCTGAAAGTGAATGTACTAACCTGTCAATGTTGAGGTAATGAATTGGAAACCTGCTCATAGCAAGATGCGTTTGATTCCAATCTTAATTGACTAGGATTGTCAGTTTTTTGACAGAAGGGAGGTTTTTCCCTCTGGGAACTCCAAATTCCTCCACCAACATGATATGTGTGCTGAAAGTGGTGTTATACACAAAAATCAATTGATTCAGGCTCCAGTCAGTCTCTTGTTTTTAAGTAATAACCACCTTTTGGGTTTATATCTTTACTTGTGTGGTTATGTATAATTTAACAAACCGATGATATTTGATAATTTTTTACTTGCTGCTCTGATTGTATCTATTTATAAATTGAACAACAGATGATCTGTTTACTGTACATTAGAATCAGGAACATTAGATTGATAATTATATATTGTATATTGTGACCACTTGAATATAAAAGGAGAACCTTTAAAGCTTTGTTGTAAAATATCTTAAAAAATCATAAAATATCTTTAAAAATTATAAAATCTTTTAAAATACTATTCACATTATTCTACTATTGATACAGAATAGGAATATTATTAAAGTTGAATAAGTACTTTTGTGCTTTCCTAGAATCCCTAAAAACAAAAGTTTTCTGGATCATGGGTTGCAGCCAAAGTTGGCTATGCTAAAAACTTTAAGGAATTATGAAAAATTGGACCAAAACTGATGTTTCAACATGAATAATGCATAATTTAGATGCCATAACTTCATAATTTATAATGTGATATGCCAAAAAGAAGTTATTTTGTATTACTAGTTATTTTACAACTATTTCTATGGTACATGTGTCATGTTTGCAGTATTTTGGCCAGATTTTAAAAAATACTCTAAATCTTAGGGCCAATTTTAACCCTTTGTAACCCTAATGAAATTTTAAAAAATTGTTGTAAATTTTAGGAAACCTCTTTTTTAAAATACTGGAACATTACAATACTTCAATATCATTGCAAATTATTGGATTTCATTTGTTTTAATCTTTATTTTTTCAATATCAGGAAAACCGAATTTCATCTTCCGACAGCAATAGACTATCCAGACAAAAAGATCTTTTATTGGAAAAGATGGCAGACTTTGAGGCTACAAATAAAGCCTTGAGAAGAATACTAAGAGAACAACATGAATATGAAGCAGCTGCTATCAGGCTTGGAGAGCAAAGGGATGTTCTACTGAAGAAATTGGCTGATTCTGATAGAAGAAATGAGGTAAATTAATGTATACAAATGTTGAATCATATATCGGTCAATATCCCTATTGGACAAATGAAGTAAAGAAAATGATACTTAAATGCCTACCTTGTATGAATTACACATATTGACTCACATGATGTAGTTTCTATTCCATACATTAACCCTTTCACCGATAGCTGCCCAGACAGAAGCTACTCTGAGACGATGGCTTCCCTGGCTACTATTACTCAAGTGGGAGATCTTCATAACAAATGTCAATAAAAACTTGTCTGTAGTATTTTGTGTCTTTATTTCATTCACTAACACCATGTTCACAGTTTTGTTCATGTTTTGATAATTTTTTCTTCATAAAATATTCAATTTTCAAATTTTCGGCATTATCTAGGTGAAATTCTCAAAATTCGACTTTTTGACCCAAAATCGTAATTTTTTAACCCAAAACGGCAAAATTTTGAAAAATTTAATGAGGCTGTACTAATTCCTTACACTGAACGATGTCCATTCCAAGTGTTTTGTACATAAAACGACATTTTATGTCAAAAAAGTATACTAGTTTGGCTTCAATTCTTCCATATTCTTTCAAAAAAAATGTTCCCTCATTTCAAATTCTTGTAAATTCCGTAAATTTCCTCTGATTTTGACACGGTTTTCAACAAACGGAAGCGCCATGTTTACACTTTCATCCGGGTATTCAACAAAGAAAGATAACTTGTGTTTGCACTGTTTGAGAGGGAAATATAAAAGAGGTATTTCCGATCCCGGTAAAACGGGACTCATCGTCAGCTGTCTGAAGCATGAATCCCGGTAAACCGGGACTCATCGGCGAAAGGGTTAACACCATTAGGCATTTTCAATATATTCAAAGCATGTAGAAAACAATTTTTAGACATCTTTTATATTTTTAAAATTATATCTTTATATGGTGTGGTATATACTGCTTTTGGAATACATGTATAATATGAAAGAAATATTCTGTGTGTACAATGGCAAAAGTAGTAAAATTATTAAATCCTTTGAAAATTATGTTAGAAAAATACTTTATTCAGAAGCAATACAGCTTATAGAATATACATTTTTACATCAAATTTATAGTTATATGTTAATAGTTCTGTTGATAGATAAATATGATGATATTGTCTGGACAGTTCAATATAGAAATGTCACTGAAATGACTTAACAATGAGATGCGTTGGATAGAAATCAACCTTATGCAAGTGCACATATACATGTACATGTACAAGACTATTATTATTTTTGAACAATCAAATACAAAATAAAAGATAAATTTTGGTTTGATGTGTAGGGTTCCTATATCATCTCAATTTTCATTCAGTAACAGACTTTACAAAGAGATTTTTCAACCCGAAATAAGTTAACAGATGTAATGATATTCATTTGCATAAGGTCGATTTCTATCCAATGCAGCTCATATGTTGAAATTGACATATTGAACCAAAATGGTTTTACAAACATAGTTATGGGTAAAACTATTTATTCGCCAAGGCCTTACCAAAAAAATAAACCAGCTACCTGCATCTTTGAAAAAAACTTCTTGTCGCAAAAATATCTTTTTGAATAAGGCCTTAGTTCATATCTAAAAAGTAATGATAAGATTTCAAAATATAAATACTGATATCTGTCAGAGTAATTGGAATATATATTTGAAGGATGTTAAGGGAAAGATTTTTTATAATTTTTTGATTTTTGAACACAAGGGGCCAAAAAAGAGGCCTTATCATACCATTTCCTTTCAAAAGAAAAAAAACAGTAGTAAGAACTGCAAAAAAGAATCACTAAATCAAACATTATTATTCTAATTAATGATAAATGTATTGAGGAAAATTATACAATTAATGATAAATTATATAGCTAAATGTATATTAGAATTTGATGTGTATTTTTTTACAGAGAATACATATAGAGTTGGATGACAGAGACCGACATATAAGAGAGCTAAGAGGTCAAATATCAGCTCAGAGGGTAGGTAGTAGATGTGTTAATGTTTATATATCTGAATTGCTAGTAAATCTATTAGTTCTAGTAGTTGTCATGTAGATAATGCTAAAATTAGTTAAATTTAAGAATGTCTCAAAGGATTTTCCAAAAACAGAAAATTCAACAATATCCTTTGATATATTATATTTTCATTTGCACCTTATACTGAATTTCCTTTATATTAAGGATGCTTAGACTAAACATAAGATTACATTTATTAGAACAAGATAAAAGATAATGATGTAAGTATTAGGGATATTTTACACACTCACTGTATAGGGTTGTTTCATTTAAACATACACATCATTAAAGAAGAAATATCAAAATGATTTGTGGAAACATGCTCTGTATTTGTAATAAAGGTTTCCTATTTTTTTTATCAGATCCTTCTGTGATAGTTAAAATGGAACAGCTCTTATTTAAGGTCAAAGAGCAGTTAATGGGTACTGTTGTAAATTTTTGTAGGATTTTGCCTTTTGCTCTGGTGTAGCTTAAAGCAAAGATCTCTAAAGGCAAAAGCAGTCCTCAGATTTTCTTAAAAATCAGTATATTGTTGCTAGATGAAATTCTGTTTTAATTAATTTAAATAATCATAGGGTCATGGACTCTGTTTTCTGTATAAACTTCTTTCAACGCTAGGGTATTTTTTGAAAGAATACCACAAAACGTCAAATAAAGTTAATGTTTTTTCTGTATAAACTGCTTTGAAAGCTAAGGTCTTTTTGGAAAAATTCCCCAAAATGTCAAATAAAGTTAATGTCCAGTAGCTGTAAAATATTAATAGGAGACCCTGTATTTATTTTATACCAATCATACAGAAATTAAAGAAAAAACATAATTGTTAAAGGAAAATAATATTGTAGAATATAAAAGGGATGAATGCATTATTTTTTTTAAATTTACTTTTAAAATTTTTAAATTTTGTATACAAAATCTTATAAAAATACCTAGCGTATCCCATTTAATTTTATTTGACCTTAAACCAGTGGCTTTAAAAAATTCAGTGATCCTTTCAAATAACATTTACTAAATATTTATTCTAGTCAAACTTCAGGACAATGAATGATTACTTGGCTTAAACTTTAATAATTGGATATAATTTGTTTAGTTGTTCTATCAGTTTTTATTTGCATATTAACATCAAATTTGAAAGACTGCAACCTAAAACTTCTTAGACTAATTTGTTAATTGTAGCTGCTTTTTAAAACGTTTTATTATTGCAAATGAATGAAGATGTTTAAGGGGTCTTTTTTGGGGGAATCTAATGCTACATGTATTTGAATACTTGCAATTGTATCGGTCAGGAACTTATATTGATTTTTGTGTTAAGACTTTGCTTTGCACTGCCAGATTTGTTGTCAAATGTTAAGTTTTCTGATTAAATCCATTTAAAAATAAATACTTATAATTGTGTGCAATAGTAAGGTTAAATTAGAGGAGATTCACGATTTTAAAGTCTGTTTTGTTTAAAGCAGTGTGGATTCAATTATATTTGTTAGCTACCTGTACCTTTATTTATTTGATACTAATTGCAGTGGATTTAATTTTGGTTTACAAATTCCTTTAGAGGAAACATTAATAAAAGCAGGCAATCAACTTTCTTACAATTTCTACTTTTACCCCAAAGTGGGAAAGTTGTTACTCAAAATATTGAATACATAGAATTTGGAAATATTTATTTGATAAATGTATTAGTTATCAAATGTTAAGACAGTAAAATATGGATAATAGAACTTGCCATTACAAGGGTAGGTTTCATTACAATCCCCCTGTAAATTACTCTTAGTGTGTCGGAAATAGAAACAGATGAAAAAATTAAATATTGAAAATAAAATAATACCTGATGTGTTATATAGGAAGAGGTGGCTACCCTCTCAGGACTACAACATTCGATTGAACAAACAAGAGCACACTTACAAAAACAATTACGTCAGAAAGAGGCTGATTGTAACAGAATGGCTGTACAAGTTAGGGTGAGTTGTTTTGTAAAGTTTTATGGTGCAAATTATTCAAGTTAAATTTTTATTGAAACATGACATTTGTTTGATATTATTCCAATTATTAGGAGATCACATTCTGGAAGATAATACGTTTAATTTTTCATTTCATATTGTAATTAAAGTATTATTATAGCACTGTTTTATTGCTTAGTTTGGCATATTAGAGCTTTGATGCAGCATGAGTTTTATAATCATGTAAAAGTTTCTATTAGATATCGACACTTTCCAGAGTTAAAAATGTGTTGTCTACTTTTTCTTTTCCATTGTTAACATACATATCAGTGTATGATAATATCCTTATATTTATGTTGTGAAGGTAATATAGTTCGATACATTTTTTTACTTTGCCTCAAATAAATTGAGGAAAAATTATTTGGAGAACCTTTGCATCTATTAGTATTACAACATCTACAGTCATACCATTAGAACTGCTTGGCTTACAAGTATCAAACTTTGTTAAGTAAGGTAGCAACTGCTGTTGATAGAATACTGCTGCTCAAGAAAACTATGTGGATGCATAAACAGTCAGCACAAAGCATGGATGTGATGAGTTTCTGACATGTAAACAATTTTTATACGACCGCAAAAAAATTTTGTGGTCGTATATTGGTATGACATTGGCGTTGGCGTCGTCGTCGTCGTCGTCCGGCGTCGTCGTCCGAAGACACATTGGTTTTCGCACTCTAACTTTAGTTTAAGTAAATGGATCTTTTTGAAATTTGACCATAAGGTTAAATACCACAAAAGGAAGGTTGGGATTGATTTTGGGGGTTATGGTACCAACAGTTAAGGAATTAGGGGCCAAAAAGGGGCCAAAAATAAGCATTTTCTAGTTTCCAGACAATAACTGTGGAACGGTGTATGGATCTCTCTGAAATTATACTACAAGTTTCCATACCACAAAGGGATGGTTAGGATTTGCTTTGGGGGGTTATGGCTCAAACCGTTTAGGAATTAGGGGCAAAAAAGGGGGAAAAACAAGGTTGTCCTGGTTAATGGACAAATACTTTAGGACAAAACATAATTTAAAGCAGTGTAAGGGAGATAAATCAAATACATCATTGAAATTATCTCCCTTACACTGCTTTTAAATTATGTTTAAAGTAATGGTTAATGAACAATAAAGATAATTTAAAACAGTGTAAGGGAGGTAATCCAAATACAACGTTTTGGTTACTTCCCTTACACTGCTTTTAAATTATGTTTAAAGAAATGCATATTTATAAAGGAAGACCAGTAAAAATATCTGCAAATGTTGCATGTTTTTTTTTTACAAAAAAATCCATATGAAAAATTTGACACTATATTTTTAATTCTATTATAAAATAGATTAAGTTAGCACTATGGTAAATTTAAATGGGTAATTATGGTTGCCAACTCCATTGGAAATTTGAATTGAGATTATGACCATATCTTGAGGGAAAGAATTTTTTTGGGGAAAAAAGGGGGGGGATAAAAAGAAATTGTGGGGGGGGGCAATTTTTTCTCATTTCAGATTTCAGAAATTAAAAAGAATTATTCTTCAAATATTATTTTTTTTTTCAAATTTCAAATATTGAAAAATTTCAAGAAGTAATCTTTAATTGCACAGTATGGCGCATTAGATTTATAAAATCTTTGATTACATTTATTTATTTGTTATGCCGAATCTAACAGTGTATTTAGATTTTTAATTTTGGGTCCAGTTTTCAAATTGGTCTACATTAAGGTCCAAAGGGTCCAAAATTAAACTTTGTTTGATTTTAGCAAAAATTGAATATATGAGGTTCTTTGATATGCTGAATCTTAACATGTATTTAGATTTTTGATTTTTGGCCCAGTTTTCAAGTTGGTCCAAATTGGGGTCCAAAATTAAACTTTGTTTGATTTCAACAAAAATTGAATATATGGGGTTCTTTGATATGCTGAATCTAACCATGTATTTAGATTTTTTATTTGTGGACCCCGTTATCAAATTGGTTCATATTGAGGTCAAAAGGGTCCAAAATTAAACTTTGTTTGATTTCATCTAAAATTGAATTATTGGGGTTCTTGGATATTCCAAATCTAACCGTGTATTTAGATTTTTAATTTTTGGTCCTGTTTTTTTAAAGTGGTCTACATTAAGGTCCAAAGGGTCCAAAATTAAACTTAGTTTGATTTTAACAAAAATTGAATTCTTGGGGTTCTTTGATATGCTGATTCTAAACATGTGTTTAGATTTTTGATTATGGGCCCAGTTTTCAAGTTGGTCCAAGATAGGGTCCAGTATTTAAACTTTGTTTGATTTCAACAAAAATTGAATATATGGGGTTCTTTGATATGCTGAATCTAAACATGTATTTAGATTTTTGATTATGGGCCCAGTTTTCAAGTTGGTCCAAATTGGGGTCCAAAATTAAACTTTGTTTGATTTCAACAAAAATTGAATATATGAGGTTCTTTGATATGCTGAATCTAACCATGTATTTAGATTTTTTATTTGTGGGCCCCGCTATCAAATTGGTTCATATTGAGGTCAAAAGGGTCCAAAATTAAACTTTGTTTGATTTCATCAAAAATTGAATTATTGGGGTTCTTTGATATGCCAAATCTAACCGTGTTTTTAGATTTTTAATTTGGGTCCCGTTTTTTAAATTGGTCTTCATTGAGGTCCAAAGGGTCCAAAATTAAACTTAGTTTGATTTTAACAAAAATTGAATTCTTGGGGTTCTTTGATATGCTGAATCTAAACATGTGTTTAGATTTTTGATTATGGGCCCAGTTTTCAAGTTGGTCCAAGTTGGGGTCCAAAATTAAACTTTTTTTGATTTCAACAAAAATTGAATATATGGGGTTCTTTGATATGCTGAATCTAACCATGAATTTAGATTTTTTATTTGTGGGCCCCGCTATCAAATTGGTTCATATTGAGGTCAAAAGGGTCCAAAATTAAACTTTGTTTGATTTCATCAAAAATTGAATTATTGGGGTTCTTTGATATTCCAAATCTAACCGTGTATTTAGATTTTTAATTTTAAGTCCCGTTTTTTAAATTGGTCTACATTAAGGTCCAAAGGGTCCAAAATTAAACTTAGTTTGATTTTAGCAAAAATTGAATTCTTGGGGTTCTTTGATATGCTGAATCTAAACATATGTTTAGATTTTTGATTATGGGCCCAGTTTTCAAGTTTGTCCAAGTTGGGGTCCAAAATTAAACTTTGTTTGATTTTAACAAAAATTGAATACATGGGGTTCTTTGATATGCTGAATCTAACCATGTATTTTTGATTTTAGACATTGGACCATAATAGGTTAATTAAAAAAATTCAAGTTCTTAGACCACATTCTTTCTGTGTCAGAAACCTATGCTGTGTCAAATATTTAATAACAATCCAAATTCAGAGCTGTATCAAGCTTGAATGTTGTGTCCATACTTTCCCCAACTGTTCAGGGTTCGACCTCTGCGGTCGTATCAAGCTGCGCCCCAGCGAAGCATTTTATTTCAATGTAATATCAATTATCATCCACCTTTTGCATTGAATTGAATGAGCAAAAGACAATGGTTTCATAACATGTTGATGTTTTGTGCAGAATAGTTAAATGTCAAGTTAAACTTAGACAAAAGGAGACAGGGGTCTTAAGTTAAACTTAAACAAGAGGAAACGGGGGATATACGTAAAACATATACTTTACTTTTTATTTTATTTTTCAGACAGTTGAAAGTTCAAGAGCACAAGATAAGATAGAAATAGAACATTTGACAGAAATGTTGGCTAAAGCAAAAGATAAAGCAGAGAGAGATAAGGAAGCATTGAAAAAGGCTACGAGGTTAATAATATATATAATAAATCATGTGCATGATCCTTCCATCACTAGATACCTTCACCTGATCAGTTATCCCCCTTTACCTCCCTTGCATTTCTTCTTGTTTAGACCAGTTTTGAAACTTCCCACTGAATTTAAAAAGTTCACATTGAAGGTAGTCTATCAGAGTGTATATATATCTATCATTGACTTTGATGATGCCCATTGATAATGGTACTGGGGATTCATGAAAATTGATATCCCAAGAATAATAATGAACCCACAGTATTTGAACTCAAAATTTAAAAAAAGTCTTTGCATGGTTTTTTGTCGAGCCTTCGACTTTAGTCGAAAAAGCGAGACATAGCGATCCTACATTCCGTCTGTGTCGTCGTTGACGGCGTCCACAAATATTCACTCTGTGGTTAAAGTTTTTGAAATTTTAATAACTTTCTTAAACTATCCTGGATTTCTACCAAACTTGGACAGAAGCTTGTTTATGATCATAAGATAGTATCCAGAAGTAAATTTTGTAAAAATAAAATTCCATTTTTTCCATATTTTACTTATGAATGGACTTAGTTTTTCTGCCGGGAAATATTACATTCACTCTGTGGTTAAAGTTTTTAAAATATTAATAACTTTCTTAAACTGTCCTGGGTTTGTACCAAACTTGGACAGAAGCTTGTTTATGATCATAAGATAGTATCAAGAAGTAAATTTTGTAAAAAAATAAATCCATTTTTTCCTTATTTTACTTTTAAATGGACTTAGATTTTCTGCCAGGAAACAACACATTCACTCTGTGGTTAAAGTTTTTAAAATTTTAATAACTTTCTTATACTATTTTGGATTTGTACCAAACTTGGACAGAAGCTTGTTTATGATCAAAAGCTAGTATCTAGAAGGAAATTTTGTAAAAAAATAAATCCATTTTTTCTGTATTTTATTTTCAAATGGACTTAGATTTTCTGCCGGGAAACAACATATTCACTCTGTGATTAAAGTTTTTAAAATTTTAATAACTTTCTTATACTATTTTGGATTTGTACCAAACTTGGACAGAAACTTGTTTATGATCAAATGCTAGTATCTAGAAGGAAATTTTGTTTTCTTCCAGTTAACATTACATTCAGTCTGCAGTTAAAGTTTTTAAACATTTATTAGATTCATAAACTGTCCTGGATTTTTACCAAACTTGGACAGAAGCTTCTTACAATCAAAAGATAGATCAAGAGGAATATTTTTATTGATTTACTTCCTCATTTTTTGTTGAGCCTGCGATTAACAGAAAAAGTAGGCGAGACATTGGGTTCCGCGGAACCCTTACAAATTTTTAATGGTTCAAATAGAAAGGTTAACTAACTTGTAGAATTAAGCATGGTTAGTTTCAATGATGCATGATTGAATTAACTAAATATTGTGATAATCAAAAGTATAATAATTAATCTTTTAAAAATAAAAATAAGATTCTTGAAAATATTTTCAAGGTGTATTCAGCATTGTTAGAATAACTCAAAAAGTGAAAATCAAATATCAATAATAGTGTAATAAATGGTAATAAATAGTCAGCCATTTTTACACATGGCAAATACTGGTATGAATAGCCTGAACTTGATAGCTCTGTATCCTTTAACTTTGTGCTAGTCTAAAGGGTGATGAGATGTGTAAAACTAAACTTGTTAATCATATTGACTAATATATATATATATCATTTTATTTGGTTTTGGACATTTACATTATAATCATTTGGTGAAGTATAATATTAAACAGTAACTTAAGTTTGGGTTTGATGTAACATGAATGGTTGGTTGCAGTTCATTAGGATGTGTGTGGTCAATTGCTCACTAACATTTTCATGTAATTCATTTAAATATTTTCACAGAATCTATTTAATTCTCATACAAACATAAGGTACCAATCATTGTGGGAAAAAAGAGAAATGATATTGTATACTTCTGGTCTTTTCAAAAAAATTATTAATGTAATCAATACTATTAATATGCATGGGCATAGCTGAATCATACCTTTAACTTATAAGTATAAATAATACATATTTATTTGTAACAAAATATTCCAAGGAATTGACATATTTGTATTTTGTTGGTGATTGTGTCGTTTGGCTTCTTTGTATGCAAAAATATAGTTAACCTAAAAAAAATTACACCCATGTCAGGATCATAAGTAGAATTAATGATTGTTGATTTTGAAAACATAGACTTTTACCAGCAATCTTACAATAGTGATAATTTTCTAGTCACTAACTCTAATTTTATTATCTGATACTCCAAGGAATAGCTTTCATAAATCCTTACAATGGATTTCATCATTTTCATATATAGAGTTCAGAAACAGAGGGCAACAAAAAGTCATGATGCTCTTGAACAGCTAAGTTCTCAACTTTTGGAAAAAGATGCACATGTCGAGGAGCTACGCTCTCAGCTTGAACAGATCCACCCACGATATGATAAAGTCTGCAAAGAAAAATCACAAATATTGGCAGAGAATTCCGCTCTAAAGACGTAAGTGCTGCACAACTTTTTTGAGATTTGTGTGAATCTGGAGTTACATCTTAACTTTGCAATATCTGCTTAAAGCTATTCAGTATATAAATGGTCTTGCTTTTGATGCTTGATATTTTCACCTATATAAATAAGATTGAATTAGGATAGACTTTCCCTATCTATTCATGTTAAACCTTCCTTTCCCAGTAGTAGTAGTAGTTTATCATATGGTGTAGTCAACTATTCCTTAATATAACTCTATAGATGTTAGGTATAAAATTCGAATCAGGAAATTAAGATGCAATGCTTAAAATAAAAATTTTTAACATTGAAACTTAAGAAAAACACTTTATATACTTTTCATTAATCATTTTTCATGTGGTAGCAAAATTGTTTTGTTCAGAAGCACTGCACTTAATAACCTGTGAATTTATATATTGTATTGTTTCATAGTAACTACTGTAAGTCAAGTTATTTCAATGTATATTTTTTTGGTGTTGAGTCCTTTCTAGCAGACATTATTGAAATTGTTTTTTTTTTGTTTTTTTTATATGTTTTCTAACTTAGTAGATGCATTTTTAAGTGGAAAGATTTAAATTAGAAAATTCTTGACAATTTTAATTCCTATCATTTTTAACTCCAAAAAATTGCATAAATAGCATCTTGTGAAAATAAGTGGGCTTACAGTATAACAGAATCTGTCTTATGAATGAATCTGCATAAAAACTGTATTATTCAGAAATAAGCAAGTCAAAATAGGCTTTAGATTGCTTTAGAATTTTTGTAATTCAATGCATTTTTAGAATAAGCAAAAGTTGAAAGTGATATGCAGATTCTTGTCATCAGCAGAAGTAGATTAATCTCACAAAATCCTTTATATGTTTAATGCTTTTTCTTGCACTGCTTTTTCACAGATAATGTTAATTCACACGATTTGTTTGCATCTTTTAAAAACAGCTCAAATGTTTGTGTGACAGCTAATGCTTAATGGATGATGGTATATATACAATTATAGTAAAACCTGTGTAGATTATATGCTAGATTTAAACAGTTTATTTAGAACAGAGCTTTGGTGGAGAAATTAATTTACATGGATCTATTAAACAACATTGAATTAGGGAAAAGTGCCTATGTAAGTCTGTGGGATGTCTGAGCTCAGCCCATAGAGAAAACATGGAAATTGTTGTCCTTAATTATTGAAAAAAATCATTCTGCATTGACAATAATATCTTGGTGTAAAGTAGATACACCCATTTGGGCTAATGCCCTCAAGGTGTATCTAATACATATTTTTAGATCATTTCAATTTCCACTTTATTTTCAAATATTGGATCTTAAAACTTAACATTAATGCTTTTAATATTGTAGGAGGCTTGGTGAAGTAGAAGCCCTAATGGACAGAGTAGAACACTCATCTAAATCACACACAGACACCATTGTTGTAGAATTGAGAGAAAAACAACAAGAAGTTGCTTATCTCAAGGCAGATAATGAGAAATTGAAGGTAAAACGGAGGAAATTAAAAAATATAATTGACATCAAAACTTATTTACATTTGTAGAGGAATACATATTTTTTTAAAGGCAGTGGATCTTAAAATATAAACAGTTGAATACATTAGTTTTAGTTTTATATTAGGTTTTGAAAAGAATTGATAAGAGTTACAATATATAAAAATCATATGAAATGAGTTTCTTGTAATTTTTATGTTATGGAAATTATTGAAGCAATGCATGCATATATACTAAACTAAGTCCTGTATCCAAAGGGCCAATTTGTCGTCAATCGTCATCATCGTCCATTAACTTTTATAAAAATCTTCCCTCTGAAACTACTGGGCCAAATTCAACCAAACGGCTACAATCATCATTGGGTTATCCAGTTTAAAAAGTGTGTCCAATGACCCTGCATGCCAACCAACATAGCCACCATGGCTAAAATAGAACACAGAAAATGCAAGTTTTGTCTATTATATTGAAAACAGCTATAGAAAGAGAAATCTGACAAGGCCTGAAATGTTCAGAATGTTGAGATCTACCTATTGTCTATTTAAATCAAAACTGTCAGACAACTTCTGATAGGAGTTATTTCCTTAAATAAAGATTTTTACCATTGTTTTGCAGTTTTGCCTAATATCTTTAAAACTATAATAGGTAGAGAGAAACTTTATAAAAGAGAACATGAGAGAAATTGTCGGACGACTCCTTATTGAAGTTATTGCCCTTTAATGTCGATTTTTACTCATTTTTAGTTTTTTTGTCTATTATCTTGAAAACTATAATAGATAAATAGAAACTTTAAATAGCAAAAAAATTATCAGCAAGACAAGATCTTCAAACAATTCAACAAGGCCGAAATTGTCAGTTGACTCCTTATTGGGTAATTGCTCTTTAATTACAATATTTACCAATTTTTTGTGTTTTTGCCTATCAACTTGAAAACTACCATGATAGACACTTTTGATAGCAAAGATGATCAGCAAAATAAGATATACGATTAAGCTAAGTTTTGCTGAAATTATTAGTAGACACTTAATTGGCCTTAAATGACGATTTTTTTTACCCTTTTTTGTGTTTTGGGCAAAGACTAAAGATAGAGAAAAACTGTAAACAGAAAAAATTATCAGCAATACAACAAAAAGAGATTTTTGTAATGAATTCTATTCTAGTCCACAATGTTGGAGAGTGTCCATTGTTGAAGATGCAAATTGACCTAGGCGAACGATACAAGCTATTTAGAGCCTCTAGTTTATATTTATTACCAATCTATAACTTATTATCAACAAATAATATATCATTCAGTGATTGTTGAATGCAAGCTAATTAACTTTTGAGTGTGTTACCGAAGTTTACCAGATTGTGACATTTGTAAACAATCAACACAGAGCATGTGGGGCACGTGACAAATAAGTGAATTGTTAAGAGCCATGATATTTTTTTTTATATTTTTCATGCGTTCATATTAGTTCATGATACTTTCCTTAACAGTTGTTAAATGATTTGTTGTATTAAATTTGTTCTTTAAGAATCAGTTATTACTATTTACCTTCCAGTGCACGTTTGTTTACATTCTTTCATTAGAGTTTTTTCCTCACACTTGCGTTGTGTGGTGGTTGAAGTTCTAACAAGATGTCTTGAAGTTAAGGTCACTGCTTACAGGAAAATATCTGAGAATTAGTGCAAGGGAAGACAATAATTCAATAGCAGTACATTTATGCAGATTTTGATAAAATAAAGGATTTTCTTTTACAAGAAAGTTCACATTCACTTGTTTCATAGTAAAATTAAGCCATTCAATTATATAAAACATAATTTTTTTATAAAATTTGAAGTTTCATATGACTTTAACTAATAATGTTGATTTAAGTTTTGTATGCAGCCGTTTTTTTATGAGGACATTTTTAAAAATGTTTCCTGTGTTATTTTTAAAAATGTTAAGTATTAGATAGGTAACCCCTGCTCCATAATCACCAATCAAATTTTATAGATTCATACCTCACAGAATCCTCTCAGCTTTTCAAATGTTAATCTATTTTAAGGCTTTTGATAGAACCAGCCAACGTAATCAAACTTTATATTGATATTGTATTTCCCAAATAAAAACTTTTTTTTTTGGGGGGGGGGGGGGGGGGAACCAATGTGTGATGGTCACAGGACACTTGAATCCAAAACATTTTGACACTCAAAAAAGTGGGGACTATATTACATTCTCCTCATCAGTCCATTCCTACAATAAATATATAAATATTCATCACTTTTTTCTTAAGGACCACAGAATAGAACAACTTGAAATTTGGTCAGCAGCTTGATGAGTTTTAATGTTTGAGCAGACACCTACTTCCAGTTTAGCAATACTTTAAATAAGTTTGATATGTTGAATGAACTTAAAAAATTTTGTCACACATTTCTCCAGTACGGCTGAACAGAATGACTTCATATTTGTTCATCAGCATGACAATGATAAGTTGTGATGTGTGAGCACATTTTGGGGGACACATACTTCCTGTTTTCAGATACTTTAAATTTATCAAAATATTAAATGAAAACAGATATTTTCATCACAATTTTCTCAAAAACTACTTAACAGAATGACTTCATATTTGGTCAGCAGCTTGAGAGAGATGAGTGGTAATGTGTGAGTGTATTTTTGATCTGTCCCACGCCCTCTTCCTGTATTCTGATACTTTGAATTACCAATGGGGTATGCTTAGCACGACATTGTGTGCATTCTTGTTCATGTTCTCATTGGAGAGCCCTTTGGTTGAGGAGCAAAATTATTAGGTACATATCTCATGCAAACCTACAGACCATTGTCTATTTTAATGTTCAAATTCATGCAAAGAATATACAGTCCACCAAATTCCTGTTTTTGATTATTTTGCAGAAGTAGGAAAGTTATTTTTGTAAACAATTTTATATTGATAAATCCCTAATATATTAAAGTTGAGTTAATCTGTTTTCAGAAAAGATTCAATAAGGTACAAGCATGTTATTATTCCTTTTTGATATATCTTTAATATTTGTGAACCTGCATTTCTCATTCTGTAGATAATTAGTCCAGTTAACTGCAGATTGTATTACTTATTTATGCCTACTTTCACTTGACCAATGAGCTTTGTTTGAAGAATTATGAAATATCTATATAAAACTTCCACTGTAGTTCTTTTTCTGTGAAAGAATGAGATCCTTTATTAATAAATAGATTTAAAAAAATAACCATCAGTATAATCTTTATACATGCTTTGAGATGACATAGATTTTTGGGGTATGGACTATTTTTATTTTGTAGTGTTAGAAAATATAGTTAATACATATGAAGCAAAAAAAAACTGCTAATACAACATCATTAAACAATCTGCATCTTTGCATGCCTCAAGTAGGTATCAGAATTGCTTAGCTAAAAGTATCTTTCTCAAATATTTCTTAAAATCTAATTGTCAGTAAGAGAGTGTGTACCTAAGACCGCATTCTTAAAATTCTCAAGAATATTTAAGCATGCAAGTTCTTACTGTGTGTGTGTGTATATATATATATATATATGCCTATTTAACATATTGCCACCACTTGGTGTCCATCTCCATATGTTGTAAATGTAAACTTTTTCTAAGGCCCTCTGTTGTATAAGGCAATTTTACAAAGTTGGACATTTGAATGTCATTTCCAACTTTTCATGTTGTTAATCCCCTTCAGATTATTTGCTGTGAGACCAGACATGGTTCAGCATTTTTTTTAATTTTTTCTCCCTAAACTGCAATTTGTTTATAATAATTCTTATTGGAAATTTAGTTATGGAATTATTGTTTTAGCTTCCAGTTAAATTTGGATGCCAGCAGTCTGTCCTAAATCTATTAGTAGAAATATTGTGGGTGTTATGAAATGTGATAAGAAAAAGTATGCAAAATTGCTGACTTGCTCCCTGTTCTAACATATTTTTGTCTCGCCTTGACGGAGTCAAAAAGCGAGACATAGGTATGCTGTTTCCGGCGGCTGCGACGGCGGCATCGTCAATAATGTATTAGTTTGTGATTAGGTCTAGTTCATGGTGAACCACTGGTGGTAGGTCAATGATATTTGGTATGCAGTTGTATAAGCATTGGCACATCACATTACCATGGGGATTATTTGGCCCCGCCCCCTCAGTCAAGGTCTATTGACTTTGAAACTTTGCTTAGTTTACATGTATTAGTTTGTGATTAGGTCAGTTTATGGGGAACTGTTAGTGGTAGGTCAATGATAATTGGTATGCAGTTGTATAAGCATTAGCACATCTCATTTCCATGGAGAATATTTGGTCCTTACCCCTCATTCATGGTCTATTGACTTTGAAACTTTTGCTTAGTTTTCATGTATTAGTTCGTGATTAGGTCAGTTTAAGGGGAATGGTAGGTCAATGATAATTGGTATGCAGTTGTATAAGCATTAGCACATCTCATTTCCATGGAGAATATTTGGTCCTTACCCCTCATTCATGGTCTATTGACTTTGAAACTTTTGCTTAGTTTACATGTATTAGTTTGTGATTAGGTCAGTTTAAGATGAACCACTAATGTTAAGTCAATGATATTCAGTATGCAAATGTATTGGCATTTTTGCAAGTTTCATTTCCATGGAGATTATATAACCCCACCCCTTAATTATGGTTCATTGACTTTGAAACTTTTACATAGTTAACAAGTTAATGTTTGTGTTTAGGTTTGTTTAAAGGGAACGACTTATGAAAAGTCAATGGTATTTGGTTTGCAGTTGTATTAGCATTGGCACATCTCATTTCCATGGAGATTGTTTAGCCCTGTACCTTCAGTCATGTTTCATTGACTTTGAATATTTGCATAACTTACATGTTAAAGTATTGCTATTTTTATTTCAACATTTGCATTATCAAAATAACAAATAGGCGAGACATATCTCTGTGTTAACAGTTTATTTTAAACTAGGAGAAAATGAATGGCTATATGTACATTTTGTATGTTTTAATTGATTTAGATATTATATGCAAGATCCCATCAGATATTCTATATTTTGCAGTCTTCCATTGCTACCATTGAAGCCAAGTTTCGACAAGCAGATGAAGAGTTGATACAACTGAGAGGAAATCTGAAGCAGTATGAAAATCTGGTTGAAGAGTATAAATCTCAGGTTTGTTGATGAAGGTGATAGATACTAGTTGGCTAGTGGTCCAGTACATTCACAGTCAGATGTTCAATAATCTGTCATCATAGTCATTGTGTTTTAATATTGCAACAAAATTGAAAACAGGAATTAAGACTGTAAACATGATTTATTTTCTATCTTATTTGAATAATGGGATCATAACTTATTGCAGCTAAATGATGATAGCAATTGCTCCTTTCAAGCACCATACATTTTAACATTACTATTCATTTAAGTAACAGTCTAGTCATTTTATTAAAAAAATATCTTTGATATCATTTCACTGACTTATATCATATCCACACATATAACATTGTCTTCCAAAGAATGTATCGGTTGAATTTTCAAAGGAGACAACCTTTTATTTGGTCAGTGAGAAATCAAAAAATATCATCTGATGTGGAAAAAAATTTGATTTACGGTAAATATTTATTTGACTGTTTCCTTCATGTCTAACCTACAGGTATCTTTATAGAAGGATTTTTATAATTAATAATATACAAAACAAAAGTTACTAAATTTCCATTTATATTTAATTGCACAATGCTCAATGGTGTCAGACCACAATATTTCTGGACATATAGTATTTCTTTTTGAATACCTACACTTCACGTTTAGGTTGTTTAGAGGCTTTTTCTAAGTAGCTGCTTTATAATAATTCTTTATATAGCATGTTTATTTATATTCTAAAGGATTGATAAGTCTCTCCAAAATTTCTTAATTATTTTACGATTCTGAAAGTTGAAAAGAAGCCACTTTACAATGCCTAATTGTGAACACTAGTCAAAACCACTGCTTATAAATGGTTAGATACCTGCATGTTTATATAAGTTGTAAGCATTTGTTGAATATATCGCATTAAAGAAATCAGGAAATTTACATTTTGCTTTATCATTGATGAGAAATCTTCAAATGTTAAAAAGTGTCAAAAAGGTCAAACTTTAAGCAAATCATATTTTGAAATTATGCTTCTACAATACATGATATTACTATTTAATTGAATGCTAACGTTTGATAGATGCTTACAATATTATAAGGAAATGGTATAGAATACATGTTGTCAAAGTTTTATTATAAGTCCATTATATTCACATAGAAACACATAGTTTAGATAGAGGGAACAGTGTTGTGACCCACAAGTTATTCTGTGGAGTATTTATATTTTATAAGATAAATAAACTTGGAAACATACATACTAATGAAATTAAAACAAACATTATGGGCAAGTAGCTTGAACTGGAGATCAGAGACTCTTGTGGATGATGATTCTGTATCAGATGGGTGATTATATTTACAGATGAATAAATCTCGTCGTGAAGCAGATGAAACAATGGCAGAATTAGATGAGGCTAAACAAGAGTCCCACATGGCTCAAAGAGAGGGAGAAATAGAATTAGAAAAGGCAAGACCAGATGCCAGTAGACAAATAACTACCAAACTTTCCTCTCCTTTCTCATCTTAATTTATATGTTTATGTTTCTATACTTGGGATATAATGAAGTTCTTCACTAAAAAAGTAGCAAAGAAATTCTTAGCTGTGTATCATTGTTTCTTTTGTTAGCCTTACATAAATATAATATTTATGAATACATGTATTGATAAAAAAATGAAGACAGTTTTATTAGGATGATTTCATTTTATCTCAAGAATTTTGTTTTTAAAGAATGTTTATGAATATTTTTTCTGTAAAGATTTAGATTTTTTGTCCTTATTCTAAATTTCCTAATGATTGGTTCAGGGATGAAAAAAACTGTTATTAATCATTGGTGATGGATGCTATAAGTGAGATATTCATGTTGAAATGTCCACTTAATTGTTCACTAAAATTGAATCATGAATGTATTTGTAATTGGATATTTTGGATATTGTAGTTTTTTTATTAGGGTTGGATAGAAAATTATTTATCAAGGTTGTGAAACTTTAAATATAAAAATATAAAAGTGATAATCCCATATTTATTTAAAAAGACAATTCATTCATGGTTTTATTAAGCATGCTTTGACTGCACTGTGAGCTAAAGTTAACAGGTACATAAATGGGTGATATCATGAATTTTTATAAAATTTTGCATGCAACTAGAGTATGAGGAACTGCACATAGACACAAAAAAAAGGATATATATATATATATATATGATTTTTATACCGTCTGAGATATTGCGATTTAAATATCCGGAAAATAATAGTACAAATGTATAGAATACATGTAAATATTTTAAAAATGTTCATCAATTTTGACTTTGATTTAATATTTCTCAAAAAAAATTTCCTACAATTTTTCTTTAAAATGAAATGTTACTGCTACTGAAATTTTTGTTTTATTGATATAAAATTTAGGGGGTCACCGAATTGGTTTTTTGAGTATGAAGGTGAATTTTCTGTACAGCTTGGAAAAAGCTCAGAAAAGGCAAAATTTCAACGATTTTAGATATTACAGAGACACTAAAATGATTTATGTAGCGAAAAAAAAAACGAATTCTGTGACCCCCTATTAATATTAATAAATCAAAATGTTAGTGGCAATAAACATTTTAAAGAAAATGGCGTAGAACCGATTTTTGAATTAAAAGTCAACTTCTTGAATATATTTGCGATATTTACATGCATCCTATACATTTGTTTTTCTTTCTACAGAATATTCAATACTATATATCTAAAAAAGTATAAAAGTTACATATATATTTACATATTCATATGCAGTTCCACATACTCTTGTTGCTTGCCAAATTTCATAATAATCTGAGATCGCCCATTTACGTACCTGTTACCTTAATATAATTTTATATTTGAAACAATATTTATATATATACATATATAGCTTGAGTGATCTAGCTTTTCTTTCAGTTGCATATAAATGTTCTGTTTCAGTATTAATTTCCATGCTATACAGTTGCCTTAAGATGCTTTGAGATTTAAGGCATAATCACAACTATCATTGATACACACTCTTGTTATATATAAGTGAACACATCTTCATGATAGCGTTTTCAACGCTGTGCAGATTTAGTCAGGGAAAGCATACATATAATATACAAATTGATTAACATCTTTTTATATTATTTCTAAAGTCAGGTGGGAGATATCCCACACAACAAGCCCAAGGGGTAAGTCATCTGTGTTCACAATACACAACCTCAAGTCTACTACGCATGAATGTTAATTTCAGGTGGTGTTCTTTTATATCACAAAAGCCATTGTAAATAAATAGATCTGACTGTTATGGTTTATGATTGATTAGATATATCAGTCCAGAATTTGTCGATTGGAATTATTTTTATTTATTTCTTATGTTTTTTTTTTCAAAACATCTATATACACTAATGGCATGTTACGTTGCATGAGTAGTCACAGCAGCACTTTTGACAGGTCTTTAAGAATTCTGTATTATTTGTTATCATTTGTCACTTCTTTCCTTCATTGGTTGATAAAGTTGTTTTATAGTAGTGATGCATTGTTTTTATACTTCATGTATCATGATCGTTTTATATCCAATGCTGAGAAGGAAATTTATTTTCTGTAACATGTTTCAGTATAGTTATACACATTGAATTTCTATCTTATCATTTCATCTTAAGGTATCACATTGTCAGACATTTTATAATACCATTACCAAGGTCAAGGCAAGATGTAAAATTGTTTATCCTTTCACACAGCATGTCATATAAATGGTATATATCATTGATCAATATTTCAGAGTTTCTTTTCATTGTTGTACATAGTATAATGTAAAATACTTGACTTCTTATAGGTAAAGGTTAGGTTACATCAACGTCTCCAAGAGTTAGAGCCTTTACCAGAAATGTTGAAATCATCGGAACTTAGGCTATATGAAAGTCAAGAACGGATGAATATTTACGAGAAAAAAAATGGAGAGAATACAAAACTTATATCAGAGTTGACCGCTAAGGTTTGTGACATAAAACAATGTTGATTATTTAATGATTTCTCTTATTTTGACCCAAAAAATGTGTTAGTATAGCAAAAAGTCATTTTAATATCAGTATTTACATTCTGAAACTTCAAATAAACAGTTGACTCTCTCATAATGATTTTTATCTCGCCTTTCCAATAATGTTGCAGAATGCAAGACATAAGGATGCTTATCTTACAGCAACAGCATTTGCATTTTTGTATAAAATACATATTTAAAGGTATAAGAGCTTGATTATCCAAATCTTGTATATAGATGCCTTATTGTTTGTAAATTCCATCTGTCCTTTCCTTGTTTCCTGGTTCAAAATATACTATAATGTTGAAGACAAAAGTCCTAATTTTTATTTGAAGCAGTTAAAAGAGGAAAAATTGAACAACATTTATATTGTAATTGAATGTGGGGACAGCAAATTAAGTTTATGTACAGCTTATATCTTAATTGAATTGAAAATAGTAAAGGTTTTCTTTTTGTCGAGCCTTCGACTTTAGTCGAAAAAGCGAGACATAGCGATCCTACATTCCGTCGGCGTCGGCGGCGTCCACAAATATTCACTCTGTGGTTAAAGTTTTTGAAATTTTAATAACTTTCTTAAACTACCTTGGATTTCTACCAAACTTGGACAGAAGCTTGTTTATGATCATAAGATAGTATCCAGAAGTAAATTTTGTAAAAATAAATTCCATTTTTTCCGTATTTTACTTATAAATGGACTTAGTTTTTCTGCCGGGAAATATTACATTCACTCTGTGGTTAAAGTTTTTAAAATTTTAATAACTTTCTTAAACTATCCTGGGTTTCTACCAAACTTGGACAGAAGCTTGTTTATGATCATAAGATAGTATCCAGAAGGGAATTTTGTAAAATAATAAATCCATTTTTTCCATATTTTACTTTTAAATGGACTTAGATTTTCTGCCAGGAAACAACACATTCACTCTGTGGTTAAAGTTTTTAAAATTTTAATAACTTTCTTATACTATTTTGGATTTGTACCAAACTTGGACAGAAGCTTGTTTATGATCAAAAGCTAGTATCTAGAAGGAAATTTTGTAAAATAATAAATCCATTTTTTCCGTATTTTACTTTTAAATGGACTTAGATTTCCTGTCAGGAAACAACACATTCACTCTGTGGTTAAAGTTTTTTAAATTTTAATAACTTTCTTATACTATTTTGGATTTGCACCAAACTTTAACAGAAGCTTGTTTATGATCAAATGCTAGTATCTAGAAGGAAATTTTGTTTTCTTCAAGTTAACATTACATTCAGTCTGCAGATAAAGTTTTTAAACATTTATTAGATTCATAAACTATCCTGGATTTTTTCCAAACTTGGACAGAAAGTTCTTACAATCAAAAGATAGTATCAAGAGGAATATTTGTATTGATTTACTTCCTCATTTTTGTTGAGCCTGCGATTAACAGAAAAAGTAGGCGAGACACTGGGTTCCGCGGAACCCTTACGAATTTTTATTACTACCAAGTCAATCCCTATACATTACCTTAGTACATTTATGTGGCAGTTATGCACCTTTTTCATGGGATAGCTCATATATATAAAGATTTATATGTGAATTTGTGACAAAAATTTTCAGGTTGAACATGTAACAGAACAAATGGACCAGATGAGAAACAAATGGCATGACTCTCAAGATGAGAACAAACTACTGGGAACCAAAGTGGACGCTTTAGAAAGGTATGCAAAATATACAATATATATATATTGATTTATTAATTTGTTCTGAGCATAAAATACAGGCATGCATTACAATCCGTTTTTATGTTTGAAAGAATATTCAAAAGTATTTATGCAGTGACCTTTAGAGGATACCATTCAAGGATCTTGAAATAATCGCAGATTCTAGACAAGAGCTAAAATCATTTAACAAAACAGACAAATGAAAAAACAGGGGAAATCATGAAAAGGTTGTTAATTTTATTCATCATTATGACCAAAAGATGCATGAGAATGTAAATTAAATGTTGGTGGAGTAATCAAATGGATTTTAGGGTCCTGTTACTTTTTAAAAATATTCCTGTCATGTGATCTTGTTATTTGTGTCTAACTGTCATTTTATTGTAGTGTGATCACTATAAACATCTAATCAGCAATTATCTGTCAATATGTGTTTCATGAGAAAAGTTCATCACACTTGTCAGAACTGGTTAATGTGTTAGAATTAGAGAAAAAATTACTGCTACTTAAGAGAATGACTTTAACACCTAAAAAAACAAATAAAAGCCTGTAGTTCAGTGGTTGTCGTTGGGTCATGTCTGTCATATTTGTTTTTCGTAAATTGTTTTGTTATGAATAAGGCTGTTAGTTTTCTCAATTGAATTGTTTCATATTTTTCATGACAGGGCCTTTTATAGCTGACCATACAGTTTCCCATTGTTGAAGGCCGTTTGGTTGCCTATAATTGCTTACATCACTTCATTTGAACTTTGGTGGATATTTGTCTCATTGGCAATCATACCACATCTTATTTTTATATGAAAAATTCTTTTGGGATGATAGAATGCATCATTGAACTATGAACAATGACAACTTGTGAAATTTGCTTAATTAAAAAAGAAATGTTATTTGTTGCATATCAATAGCTTAAATGTAAAAGAAACTATGGTAATAAAACTATCAATTTTTTATTAGAAAACTGCGAGATTCAGAAGACCACAATAGAGATTTGTCCACAAATATTGCCAAAAGGGATGAAGCTCTACATCAGACAAATGTATGTATTACAGTTTGGTTGAACTAATTACTACTGTAACTAAAGGAAAAACTGTAATAAAGGCCATACCTTAGTTTACATAACAAGCACAGAAAACAGATCTTATATATATGTTAGTGTGAATAATTTAACATGAAAATGATAATGTCACAAACATGCCTCTTTGTTAGATCCCTTGCCCTCAGAGTTTAGCTAGAAGACTGAAAGTTCATATGTAAAATCTTAATTGCTGTGACCTATATATTATGCAAAAAGCATTCCAGATCAAATAAATTAGAGTGTCTAGTAGAACTGGCAAGGGGAAAAGATTGAAGTTTTCAAGATTTCTTTTTCTTTATTAAGTTGAAATGGTATTTTATTAATGAACTCATTCATCAGCTGAAAGTCCCAGTGGCCATGACACTTGAAATTAATAGAAACTAATATTTTTGTCTCGCCTTGACGGAGTCAAAAAGCAAGACATAGGTATGCTGTTTCCGACGGCGGCGATGGCGTCAACAATGTATTAGTCTGTGATTAGGTCTAGTTCATGGTGATCCACTAGTGGTAGGTCAATGATATTTGGTATGCAGTTGTATTAGCATTGGCACATCTCATTACCATGGAGATTATTTGGCCCCGCCCCCTCAGTCAAGGTCTATTGACTTTGAAACTTTTCATAGTTTACATGTATTAGTTTGTGATTAGGTCAATTTATGGGGAACCACTAGTGGTAGGTCAATGATATTTGGTATGCAGTTGTATTAGCATTAGCACATCTCATTACCATGGAGATTATTTGGCCCCGCCCCCTCAGTCAAGGTCTATTGACTTTGAAACTTTTGCTAAGTTAACATGTATTAGTTTGTGATTAGGTCAATAAATGGGGAACCACTAGTGGTAGGTCAGTGATATTTGGTATGCAGTTGTATAAGCATTGGCATATCTCATTTCCTTGGAGATTATTTGGCTCCGCCCCCTTAGTCATGGTCTATAGACTTTGAAAATTTTGCTAAGTTAACATGTATTAGTTTGTGATTAGATCAGTTCAAGGGGAACCATTAGTGGTAGGCCAATGTTAATTGATGTTCAGTTGTATAAGCATTAGCATATCTCATTTCCATGGAGAATATTTGGCCCCGCTCCCTCAGTCATGGTCTATTGACTTTGAAACTTTTCATAGTTTACATGTATTAGTTTGTGATTAGGTCAATTTATGGGGAACCACTAGTGGTAGGTCAATGATATTTGGTATGCAGTTGTATTAGCATTAGCACATCTCATTACCATGGAGATTATTTTGCTCCGCCCCCTTAGTCATGGTCTATAGACTTTGAAAATTTTGATAAGTTAACATGTATTAGTTTGTGATTAGGTCAGTTCAAGGGGAACCATTAGTGGTAGGCCAATATTAATTGGTGTTCAGTTGTATAAGCATTAGCTCATCTCATTTCCATGGAAAATATTTGGCCCCGCCCCCTCAGTCATGGTCTATTGACTTTGAAACTTTTGCTTAGTTTACATGTGTTAGTTTGTGATATGTCAGTTTAAGATGAACCACTAATGTTAAGTCAATGATAATTGGTTATCAAATGTATTGGCATTTGCAAATATCTTTTCCATGGAGATTATATAGCCCCACCCCTGATCATGATTCATTGACTTTGAAACTTTTACATAGTTTACAAGTTAATGTTTGTGTTTAGGTTTGTTTAAAGGGAACAACTTATAAGTCAGTGGTATTTGGTATGCAGTTGTATTAGCATTGGCACATCTCATTCCATGGAGATTGTTTAGCCATGTACCTTCAGTCAGGGTTCATCGACTTTGAATATTTGCATAACTTACATGATAAATTATTGCTATTTTAATTTCAACATTTGCATTATCAAAATTACAAAAAGGCGAGACATATCTCTGTGATAACAGTTTATTATGTTTTTATATGTTATATTTTAGTTACGGTTGGAAGAGAAAGTGAGAGAGAATGCAGGTCTCACCAGACAACTTGAAAATGCCTTGACAGATCTCAGAAGACAATCTGAAAATGTTAGAGACAAACAAGGACAAAAGGTAATGTATTTTAGGTTATTAAATGGAAGTTTGATATTTGTTATAGATAGATATATCTTGGATTGCATTGTTTAATTTATGTAGGTCAGGTACTTGAAATGGGAAAACTAGTATTCAATGGGATAGCCATACAGTAATTTTGACTACCACAGCCTAAGGAGTAAAAATAAAAATATTACTTTAAAGTGTATTTATAATGTGTTCTACATATTGAAAACTTTTCCCACTCTGTGTCATAATATACAGTTTTTAAGGATAGTTATAGATTATAACGTGTCCTATTCTTTATTGGCCCTGGTATCATTCTGAAACTCCCATATCAGCTCAAGGCGCTAGCCGAGGGCTCATATAGGTCGAGGGATGATACCAGGGCTCATATGGAAAGGACATGTTATAATATATTTATTACATATTATACAAATGCTTAAAAAAAGTGGAATTTTTTTTATTATTCCGTCTGGCAAGATCATATATTTTTTTCCTCCACTGACATTTCAATCGACGTTGACAAAACGAACATTTCTTCATCCATCATTGTTGTTAGAAATGCTTATGACGTCATTAATAACAGAGCACAATAACAAGGCAGAAATATGACTAGGACAAATCTGTGGTTATTGCATAGATGCAAAACCCAATGTTTTTGTAACAAATATATGATAAGAAACAGTATTCTATGACACTATTGCTCATTCATGGTTAATTGGTCTTCCCTTCACATGTATCAACCTGCTCAGCTCCTTGTAAGTATAGAGTTTTCTACGCATTGATATCGTAAAATATCAGCCTCCAGCCACAATGTAAAGCTTTTTGGAAAGTAAGCTGAGCCAACATTTTGGCAGAGAAAAGCATAATGATATAACAAAATGATAATGTATAATCTATATTGTTCTTTTTATAAAACCAACTGCCCTTGTTTGAGAACACCCTATTTTCAAAGAGGATAAATTGTTTTCTCATTGAAAATTTATTTTTAAAAAACATAGTTAATTAGGATTTTTTCAATTGTTGGAAGTTGAAAAGGAACCTTGTAACTTAACAAATAACATTTAATATGTGGTTATCAAAAGTTCAACTATGAACAAAGATACACCACAAAACAAGAGAAAAGCTTCTTTTAAAGATTGTACAAATAAATTGTATCATTTTCTGACAATGTACATATTATTGTGTTGCCAGGATTTATAGTCAACCAAGAGATCATTGTATGTCACCTTGTATAGTTTTTGGCAGTCAGTGAATTTTTGCTTCGTAATTATATTTCAGGAAAGAACATATCAAGCCAGAATCACTGATTTGGAATCTCAGTTAAGTCAAGCCAGAGCTGAGATTGCTAAAGTTAGGCGAGAGAAAGAGGAGGTAGGGAGATTAATCTTGTTCTTTTAATACTTTCATGACCATGTGTCAAGTCAATATAATGGTCAAAGACCAAATTGACCATATATGTTATGTTGTTCACAGTTTATAAGGATGTTAATGTGTTAATGTAATATAATGAATAACTTATGATCAATTTGATGTAATTATTACCCATACAAAGTAAAATAGTTTTATAGTGCACCCTAATGAAAACATATGGTGGAGAGTTGTCTCATTGTCAATTATACCACATCTTCTTACTTTTATATAGGGATAAAATGCTAATATCCTGAAGACAGAAGTAGATAGAGTAGCATCTGGTGGGCAGAAATGTTGACTTTCAATAACTGCCCACTTTAAAAATAAGGAGAAGTGGAATGATTGCCATTAAGACAACTATCCACAGCTATGGCCTTCTATAATTGAAAAAAAAACATACCGTCAGCTATAAAAGGCTGTGACGAAATTAACGGCCCAATTTATAATAATACAATTTATGATAAACAATGACATGAACCATATTTACTGAATTACAGGCTACTGACTTGGGACAGGCACGTAAAGAATGTGGCGGGGTTTAACATGTTTGTGAGCCCTCAACCTTCCTTTTACCTGAGACAGTGGTGTAACAGCACAATTTGAGAACAACAAAAAAATCAGCTTAACTCATTAGCTATCAGTATGAAGCACAAAAAAAAAAAAAAAACACTAACATAAAAAAGTAGACAAAGCACTGATAAAAGAGTACTCACAGTTAGGGAAAGCTAGTTCAAAGCCAATTACAACTAATAAATAGATTATTTTATCCCAGACTAAAGTATCAATCAGTGCAAATCCAATGAATTTAGTGTAAAGACATATTAAACAGTCTGAGAAAAGTATGACCTTGTGCAATGCCAACATATAAGTGTCAGTATCAAAAGAATGTTGGATCATGAATACTCATAACTGTACATATATAGCAACATGTATTAAGTTATGTTTAAATTTTTCAAAAACAAAGTCAATGTAAGTAAGTTTATTCGAAGGATCAATGTCAGCTGACTCCTTCCATGATTATTGACCTTTAATGAAGATTTTTACCAGTTTTTTTGTGTATTGGCTATAATTGTGAAAAGAACTTTAAACAGCAAAATAGTTCTGCAAGACAAGATCTACAATTAAATCAACATGGCTTAAATTCTCAGCAGACCCCTTATAGGAGTTTACTGCCCTTCAGTGATTTTTCGCAGGCAGTCCCTTTCTGTTTGGGGATACTTTCAATCAAAAGTTTTGCACTTACTTTTGTAATTAAAAGTACATGAAGGATTTTGAATTTGTGGTTTGAAGTTTTGAAGTGAAGGAAACTAATTAATAATTATTTGATTCTTTTCAGAGTGAAAGAAAATTTAATTCCCGATTATATGATATCAAAGACAGGTTAGAACAGTCCCACAGCACAAACAGAAGCATGCAAAACTATGTACAGTTTCTGAAAAATTCCTATGCTAATGTATTTGGAGACAGTGTTACCTCATATCCACCTACACCAATAAGCTGAGACATGAACTGAAATCATAGCTTAAATTATAGTATTATATCATTAAAAAGTTAGTCTCAAGAATAGAAAGATTAATACAAGATGGGTTATTGAAAGAATCTTTAAGAAAGTAGACTAAAGAGATTTTAAACAATTTGTTAGCTGAATATTTGTTGCCAGAAATAATCACAGAGAATCTTAATTTAAATATGAAAGGTTGGTGTCCATTTGGGTGTTATGTATACTGTTGTCATCAGTTTGACATTTCTACATTCAATTTTAAAGATGAATTTTGTATACTGTAGTTGTCCCATAATTTAATAACAATGCTTTAAGTCCATTGCAGCTTTGTTCATTTTTTTAAACAATAATAATTTAATCAAATACTTTTACTTGAGTTTCTCTTTGTTTAGAGGCATTCGCAAATATGATTTTATAAGAATTACAAAGTTCTTTTTGCATGTCTCTACACTGCAAACATCACTTTTGATACTGTAGTTCAAATTTGATGAGAAATTTTCTCCTGTATAGATTTGTGATTCTTTTTATGACTAATCTCACTACAAAAAAACAATTGTGATTTGGTGCCTTTCAAAATAACTTACAATCAAATTTAGTCTTTAAGATTTATTTTTGAAAAGAGATATTGCATTTTTTATTATTTGTAATGAAGCAAATTGAATTCCAATGTGCAAGGCGAAGGATAAAACTCAGTGTTGTTTTGTACATTACTTTGTTCTAATAATGTGAAGAAAAACACTTTCAATTTTGGATTAACGAACCATACTTCACCAATCTGATGTAAAAAAAAAAAAAATGGTGTTAAAATTCAATTTTTTTTGTCAGAACATTTTTAATAGGTTTTTCAATTTCGATTATTTTTAAAACCAAACACTGAAGATTTTAAACAATTGTATGACAACAGAGGCAAGGCAGCTTCATTGCATATTTTACATACTGCCAGTTGTAAACACAGGACTGCAGGTCATTCTACATTGTTTTGTCTGTGATATTTTTTATTGTGTTTATTTATATACTTTTATATGTATATTTGTCATTTACTTTTATTTTTAATTGCAATTATGATATCTGTGTACTAAATAGATACAAACAGAAATGATTTTGTCAATGATAATCATGCACGATAAACAAAAAATATATAAACTGTGCCAGAAATTATAGTCAGAAATAATGTCCAAAATTAAGAATGTTAGATTTAACTGGTATGTGTTATGGTATTCAGCAATGATTATTTACGTCTCTAAACTTTACAAAGCGAGACATATTTTGTCTGAACTGTGTTGATATGTCATTTACATTACCAGCCACAACATCAAATCTTCTAGAGGTAATTCATATCTGTTTTTGCTGTATCCCTGATACAGTATGTAAATTTCCCAATATGTAAAATCTGACCAAACCATTACTGCATTTATGTTTGTTATATCCGTATACTAAATATAGAGAGGAATAAAGAAGTGACTATTTTTTGTCTCTGATTTCTTTTTTTAATGCCATTAATTACTGCACACCATGTATTGTAAAGATATATACCACAAAAGTTTAATTTTAAAAAACATAGTTTTGTTTTTCTTCTGCAAAATTATTTAACTCTTTAGGCTCCAAATATTTGTACATTGACACTAATTCAATTACTTTAGGATAGGCATTGTGCATCCTGATACCAGGTATCAATTTACAAGTTTTGGATTCTACAGTTTTCACAGTACTTTCAAAGTACTTTTATTCGTGGGTATCAATTTTCATGCTTTGAGCAAAAGTTTCATGTTTCTGGGTTTTAAATTCATGGATTTTTTTTTTTTCGGAAAAAAATCAGGTGAAGAATATGAAGCCATCAGAAACAAAGAGTCTTGAAAATAATCATATGTTTTTTATTATGATTTGTGGGACATTGCAAAAATAAAGGTGTTCATTTTCACTTACTTGTTCGTCTTCCATTGCTGACAATATTCATCAAAAATGAAATAATTGTTTTCAGAAATAAGCTGATTCATCTATGCTTACAAATTGTCTGGATTACAGGAAATTGCAAAGTAAACATGTGTAATCAGAGGTGATGACACGAATTAACCTGAGATCGAATGATCAACAGATTAATGATCATCAAAGGTATTAATTGGGTCATAAACATGTCCCTTAAAAGAAAGGGTTACATAAAAAATGCTACAAATGTACATTGAATTGCAGAATTCATTCCTGTGAAATAAAAAAGCAAGCCCAATATGAAATTGTTTTTTTTTTGTATGAGAATTATGAGGAGATAAAATGAACACTTCATCACCGTAAGTCTGACTTTCATTGATTAAAATTAATTTTTCATGAGAATTAAAAAGTTAAAGACTCGTACAGTTTAGGTTTTTTGTCTCCCCTTGATGGAGTCAAAAAGAGAGACATAGGTATGCTGTTTCCGGCGTCTGCGGTCTCGTCAACAATGTATTAGTTTGTGATTAGGTCTACTTCATAGTGAACCACAAGTGGTAGGTCAATCATATTTGGTATGCAGTTGTATTAGCACTGGCACATCTAATTTCCATGGAGATTATTTGGCACTGCCCCCTCAGTCATGGTCTATTGACTTTGAAACTTTTGCTTAGTTAACATGTATTAGTTTGTGATTAGGTCAGTTTATGGGGAACTACTAGTGGTAGGTCAATGATGTTTGGTATACAGTTGTATAAGCATTGGCATATCTCATTTCCATGGAGATTATTTGGCTCCACCCCTTAGTCATGGTCTATTGACTTTGAAAATTTTGCTTAGTTAACATGTATTAGTTTGTGATTAGGTCAGTTCAAGGGGAACCATTAGTGGTGGGCCAATGTTAATTGGTATTCAGTTGTATAAGCATTAGCACATCTCATTTCCATGAAGAATATTTGGCCAATCCCCTCAGTCATGGTCTATCAACTTTAAAACTTTTGCTTAGTTTACATGTATTAGTTTGTGATTAGATCAATTTAAGATAAACTGCTAATGCTAGGTCAATGATATTTGGTATGCAAATTTATTGGCATTTGCAAGTATCATTTCCATGGAGATTATATAGCCGCACCCCCTCTTCATGGTTCATTGACTTTGAAATTTTTACATAGTTTACAAGTTAATGTTTGTGTTTAGGTTTGTTTAAAGATAACGACTTATAAGTCAATGGTATTTGTTATGCAGTTTTATTAGCATTGGCACATCTCATTTACATTGAGATTGTTCAGCCATGTACCTCAGTCATTGTTCATTGACTTTGAATATTTGCAAAACTTATGTTAAAGTATTGCTTATTTAACTTCAACATTTGCATAATCAAAATAACAAAAAAGCGAGACATATCTCTGTGATAACAGTTTATTTAAAGATTAAATGGGTAAAATCCTGTGAGAAGCTGTAAATATGTAGTTCATAGTGTGTTTGCTGATATTCAATGTAGCCTCTAGATTATATTCCCGTATCCATGTAGTCAAACCTATATGGGCATCTTTCCATGTCTTGATTTAGACAACAGTTGTTATATTTTTTTTGGACACTTAAATTCGTGGATAAAGCCATCCACGAAAACCATGAAAATTGATACCCCACAAATAAAAGTACTTTCACAGTAATTCCATTCTTATTTGCAAGTAACCAGAACTTCTTTGGTTGACAGAATGAAAACAATTATGAAACTATACAGTTTAAAGATCTGTATCTTTCAAATGTATGTTCATGCACAGTACTGCTTTGCCTTGCAAGATAAAGAATTCAAAAGAATATTCTCATTTGAAGATATTCTGCCAATTGAGACCAAAATGTGTCACTTATCTTCAGGATATGTCTAAAAGTAGAAGATTTGCACTCAAAATTTTTATCCTCTAATGGTGTTAATTATATTTAATAAACAAAATAATATTTGCTAAACTATGATGCAAACCAGTCAGACATGAGAAACGACTTCAAAGAGATCAATCCATGTCTGGTACAAAATGTATTACCTGTCAGGTGTGCAGGTAATCTCAGCTGTTCAGCTGCTAATTAACCTTGGTTACAATAAGGTGTATTTAAGTAGGGTTCTTTTTAGAGTAAATACTCCCTGTGTTACTTTTTTGAACCAAAAAGTGTGCTAGCTTGTGTGGAAGAATACGTCCAGTCAAAAAGATCACATAAACTTTTTAAAATTTTCTGTATAATGCTAAAATGACAATCCTATAATAGTTGACTGTTTCAGCTGAACACAAGCTGGAAACCAAATGAAATTTGTGGTCATGGCCAGTGTTTGAAAATTTATGCTTGCTTTCTTGTTTGCTTTACCGGTATTAAGGTTTTGATGGTTTTCAAATATATATTGTTGGTTAAAGTCATATCTTCCCTGATTCCTGAAGTCAAATGCACATGTGCAAAACAGAATAAAAAGTTTCAAGGGTCTCAACTCTCCAGATTCTGCAACATAAAAAAAATGAAAAAAAAAAAATGTTTTTCCTCAAATCAGCACTTATGTGGGTCATGTGTTCACTCCTGCCCACATTCTATTCAGGCTACAGAAAGCTACACTTATCAGCATACCTTGGACCTGAAGGTCATGAAATAGGACAAAAAAATAGGCAAACTATTCCTCAAAAATGATTTTTATGAGACTGTCCACTTTTCTTCTGAAATAATGTTCTCAGTTTTTCTATTGCACCTTGGTACATAATGACATTTTATTTTCACTGCTCATGTTTGTTTTCCAGTTGTATTATTATGATATTTTTTTTCCAAAATGCAAGACATTTGTTTGCTTATCCCAGTGGCACCTATAACAATTCTTAATCAATTAGAGTTGATATTTCCAAATGAAAAGATACACAATCCATCTTTTGTATTAACATAGGTTAAGTTGTGGAGTGGATTGTTAAGCATTTGTCAGTTGTCATAGACATCATTTACATAGTTCAATGACTTGTGAAAGTCGGAACAAGAACTAAATTTCATTGATTGCACTAGCATCTTATTAAGTATGAGGAAAAAGTCAACTATATTGGGTCTACTGCAGAACCATTGTCAAGTGTACATGTCAGACAGACAGAGGAACGTTGACCTTTGGTTTCTTTCTCTCTTTTTGCATTGGTCAATACCAAAGTTCAGTTTTTGTTCTAAGGCAAGTTTTCAGATTTGTTCTACTTTCTGTTTTAAAGAATTTTCAGGATCCACTGGATTTGTCAGATTGATAAGGGCCTTTAAAAATTTGTAGGCTGATATTTCATTGGCTGATGAAATACTTACTAGAACAGAAAGTAACACAGATTGTTGTCAGATCCCTGTAAGCAAAGCTTGAACAGGATCTGCATTTTAATCGGATTAGAAAAAAAGATGTAAGTCCACTATATCATTGTAAGGTGTATATATCCTTCTGAAAAGATTTCCTGTGACCCTGATTTTATTTCTTTGCTTAAGATTAGCATTCCATTCTCATATGAAGGTCAATTTCTCAGTTACCATGAGTAATAAGTCAACTGTTTGTTCTATAGAATCATTGTCAGGTGTCCATTTGAAAGGAGGATTTTTGCTGTTGTTAGGTAACTGTATCATTTCCATTTTCCCAGCATCATTAATGAATATATCAGGATTTGAATTATTTTAAATGTAATAAAATGATCTTTCGGTCTCAATTTGATGGGGGATTACTCACAGTTTAAGGGAACAGTCATTACGTGGTGGAAGGGGAGAGGGTCATTAAAGGGAACAGTCATTATGTGGTGGAAGGGGAGAGGGTCATTTAAGGGAACAGTCATCACTTTGCTTGTAAAAATGAATTTTCATTGTTTCAATAGTTTTCAAAAGAGTTTGAGGATCACCATAATAATTTTAACTGGTCTTTACTATCACCATCGAGTCAACACTACATTAGCGAATAAAAGGAAATGAATGTCATTGAAAGAGAAACCTAACAACACAAGGTAACTATAGAAGACATTTGGACAAATAATTAGAGTCAGGATTAAAACAATTTTGGGAAAAGTCAGAAAGATTATTTAAGCAGAAGCAATCTTTGTCTTGGTAACAATGAAAATAGTTCAAAGATATGTTCCTACATGTACCTTCAAGTAAACTGTTAACATAAAATAAGATTAATATAAGATACAGTACAAATGTATCTCGCTAATACAAATGTAAACTATCACTAGAACTTTCTACTTACAAATCAAATCAAAACATATTTATATCAGATGCTCCTCTTGACTACTCAAGTCTTCTATATAGCATTACAATAGTTCTGAACTCAACATCTGGTGCTTGCTTCCATTTTATTTGAATACTTGATTTTTTTTTTACCTGTTCAATCTAGGTGGGAGACGATCCTATGGCCACACAATTTCTGACAACTGCTTCGCTATTGGAGGTCTTCAAAGGAAAATATGTCTTTGTTTTTTAACTGTCATAAACCTGATTAAGTACTCAATAGATAACGCTTTTGTTGAATAATGTTTGGTTTGAAAAATATTAAGAACTGCATCCTACA